TTAGTGTATCCACTCCATGACTCGGATCAGCTCAAGAACTGCCCTTATAAAAGGTATGAAATATCATGAAAATATTCAAGATTCAAAGGTTTTAATGTCCTACGCACATAAGCTACAGTGTATAAATGACAATGAAAATCTTATGACCCGAGCTCCTCCAACAATGCAACATATATAATAAAATACAAATAAGAAAAGTATTCCAAAGAATTAAAACTACTATTAAAAGTTAATATGCCATGCCACTTGCAAAACACCAATATGTATTTATTAGTGGTTTGGTTGAGCTACATAAGCCTCACCTGTGGAGTAGTAATCGAGCACGGGGTCTTTGCAGAAGGACTTGAACCTCCAGGTGACCAGGACGTCCTGAGCGTTCGCTGAGGTGGAATAATCGCAGAGGATGATCACAGAGGCAAAGAGCGTCGTACTTCTCTCCGTCTCCGGAACAATCACCTGGACGGCAAGCAGCTCTGGTAAAATAAAAACAAATGTAAAACAACAGCACATGTGACGCAATCTTTAAATCAGTGTGTGTGTGTCTGTGTGTCAGTGTGTGTTTGTTTTGCAGCTTTACTCCTGAATGCTTGAGCGAAAAAAATCTGGCCAGACTGGTTATGAGTTTACTACAGAAGTCTTTAAGCGTGAGCATATTGTACTACATCATTAAGTCATAACAGCTGCCAATCACGATGAGCAAGAGAAAACATCACGATGACAGCGACGTCTGCTAATTGAGAAAATGATCAGTTAAGGTTTAAGGTCAACACTGAAACACTTTCTCTCCAAACAAGGCGTCTAAAACTCTAATGGAGATGTATGTTTGTCAGAGTTTGTCTCAGTTGTCTAATGTCAAAATAGGCATAAAAGACGCACATGAAAGTTTTAAATGAATGTCGAGGGTACAACAAATATGGAAAGAAACACTGAGAACGAATTTTTGAAATCATCCCGTCCAAACAATAGTTATTTAAAAGAGAATTGTATACAAATAGGAACTGCAGGTGTCTGAGATTTATAGAAATGTGCAAAAATATTTACATACATTGCAAAATCTCCAAGATGTGATCAGTATCCGGACTTTGTTGTGATGTAGAATTTAGAGCAAGACGTATAAGTTAAAATCTAAAGTTTTACTAATAAATTATTCAATGAAAATGTCCTGGTTTTCCTTTAAAATGTAAAACATTATTGCTTTTATTTATTTTATTCGACAGTTATTTTATTATTTCTGTTAGAGGTGTAATTTCGAAGACATTTTGAACATGTGATGAAGTCTTTGACTGTATGGACCAAACAACAAATTGATTAATCAACAAAGGATTGAGAAGAGTTACGGCTACCACTATTCGATCAACCAATTATTGTTGTATATTATTTTCAAATAAATCATTTAATGTCCTCTCAATAAAAAAGTTATCAAATTAAAACTCTTCAATGTTTATTTGATTATTACTAGTTCTGCCAAAAGTAATGTACAGTAAGTATAATGTATCTGTAACTAACTATCTTGATTATCCATTAATAGTTTAAATCAAATGGGAGAATTTGCTGCTGGTATTTTCCTTGCTACACTGAATATCTAAACATTGATATATATCAGTCTGGGTTCATGGGAATTATGATTAATATGTTTTAATGATTTCTGATGGTTTTCCACAATTAATGGAAGAATCCAGAAAATAATCTGCAGATTAACTGATAATGAAATAAAATAAAATGTATTTCAATACCTTTTTATATAGAGCAGGAAAAAAAGCGAGAGGCTACTAGGAGATAATTATTTAAATGTATGCTTGATTAACGACCTTTAAAGTTGATCCATGTATACACAACATGTGTCACTAACCCTGTTCTTTATGTACATAATTATTTCAGCTCAACAGCAAATTAAGTTATAATTATTTGAATCTTTATTTGTGTAATAACGTTTTATTAGATGTTAAATCAATCTGAGAGGCTGATTCCTTTTGTGAAACGTTTAGGTTAAAAAAAATGTTTGGACAAAAAACTATTAGTGGTGTGCAGTCACGTGACAGCCGTCGGCCTTGTCCTGTGTACACCTGCCGATAATAATTAACTTGAACACATCACTGCTAGTTTCGATTGTTTGCTTAGGTGGCTTCCCTTTTAAATAGCTGCACACTGGAAGAAAAACAGAGACGTCTTGATGAAGTATAATTGTAAGGCTTTACTGTGTTTACTGAAACGCCTTTAAAGCCTCACCTGTCGGCAGGCGAGCCAGCAGAAGCGCCATCAGTATCATATTTCCCATCTCGTTGCTGTGTATCCCTCCGCCGAGGCTTCACTCTCTACCCTATTGTTGGAGACTCAAAATCCACCAGAAATCCTGAGTATTTGGAGGAAAACGTTGTATATCCGCTTCTGTACATAGTCCCTCTTCTTTATCCTGTAGACGCCATGTTGGAGAGGCAGGTTTTGTTTATTCTCTGAGGTAAAAAAAAAACAAGTGTTTACAGCCGCCCTGAGGAACAACTTTCCCGCAGAGAGAAAGAGAGGCGGATCACCCCCTCCCCCTCCAGGTGACATCATGACCCCGCCCTCTGTGACAGGTGCATCAGGGAGGAAATAGAGAGGAACAGGAAGAGCAAACAAAGGTGATGTTTCCCACAACTATCACGTCATGATAGCCCCCCCAACTGACAGGAGTGAAAAGAAATGTTTTGGGAACAAAGTACTTTGCAAATATAAATCCTGTTTATTATTATTATTATCAACACAGTTACTTTTTTATACAGTGAGGTAAATGTGCATGTATGTCGTTCAGTATGCGTTTACAGGTGAATACGTCTGCATTTCCTGCCAAATACTAGCCTCAAAAAGATTAAAATATAATTAATGCAACTACTTCTACTACTAATAATAATAATCATAATCAATTCAATAATATAAATACTATATTATTTTATTATAATATAATTGTAATATAGTCAAGACAAAACATGCTTATTACATGCTCAAAAACTGAGCCGAGCTCATAAGCCGAGGCCCCCTGCGCAATGTGAGGCCCCATGCAGCCTGCATGATCTGCCTGTAGGGAGGGACGGCCCTGTCTATGACTATAGTTGACATTTTTATCCAAATGGTGCTGTCCAATCAACCATGAAGATACACATTCCAAACTGCAAGAACCCTGCATGCACATTAGCTTTCAATAAGCCAAACATTTTCAAGTGCTAAATTCAGAAATAAGAAGGGGTTTGTTTCGTTTTTTCATTTTATTTGACAGGCCAAAGTGCAGTCCCAGTACTGAACAGTAAATTAGACTTAGTTCTTAATGATTGTGCCCTTCTTTTTTTGTACATTGAAATTATTTTACCTTCTCCTCCGTGCTGTTGAAGAAAGAGATATGTCATATTTTCTAATCCTTCCAATACACATATTATTGACACACTTTTAACAACACTGAAAAAACAGTCTATTCTTTCATAGATTTTTAAGTATGGCAAAGATAAAGAAAGGTAACAATGAAGAAACAGAAGGCGTGATTAGTTCTCTGCTGGGTTTAATGCCCATAAGTGTATTTGAATGCATTTCACATGGTAGATGAATGGAGTCTTTATTTAAATGTTAACATCAGACCATCATCTTAAACCTTCTCCCCTTATTGGTGTGAAAAAACAACTCTAGAATACATTTTAGTTTAGCCTGCATGATCTGAATACTCTGAATGAAACAAGCTCTTATTAGTTTGTAGAAACATCCCGAGTGTAGAGTCCACTCTCGGGATGAGTGTGGTGAGTTCTTTGTGTGTAGATTTACGTCTCTTATCCAGGAAGTAGACCCCAGCGAGCGTTAGTGTTGACACAAAACAACTCCGCCTGAGCTGAACTCAAGAGCTGCTCTCAGCTCACTGGAGTGTGTTGGTAATCCTGAGAAAAATGCTGTGTGGATGAAAAGCTTTGCCCTCTCATCAGCGTCTGGCTCCGCTCTGAACTACACAGACATACCAGGTTTAAATTCCTTCCTTTTTAGTATCTGGGGACGACGTCCGGTTCCATTCATCTTCTGCCTCTTTGTCTTCAGTGGACAAAACATTTAGGCTGTGATCTGCCGGCAGTGTTTCAAAGGTTATAAAGTGTTCTTCTGTTTTGTTTTTCTATTAGAAGATTAAAGATAGTTAGTTAGTGTCAGGGATGGATCTCTAAACTGACAGACCTAAGTGACTGCTAATGTTTCTAACTGGATATTCAAACAAAGGATATTAAATACACACAAAACGGCTACAAAGGGTCACAAAACTACTAAAGATATGCAAAATGACTACAAATAGAACCAAAACAACTATGAATAAATCACAAATTACCACAAAGAGACGCACAATTACTAGTGATTGATTAAAAATTACGAACGAAGACGAAAAGATCAAATATATATGCTACACGACCACAAATAAGAACCAAATGAATACAAATAGACAGAAAACTTCTAACAAGAGTCAAAACGATCAGTCACAAACGACCATGAAGAGTCACAAAACTACCACAGAGAACTAACAGCAACACAGAGTTTCAATAAGACCCTAAAGATTCTTAAAATGATCATACAGTCACAAAACTATCAAAACGACTACCAATAGACCTTACGGATAGAATCAATTACCACAGAGACAAAATGCTGAAACATATATTTATTTTGTACACGTATTGATGTGCTAATTAATACTTTATATAAACACATTAAAGCTGGACACATGCTTACACGATAAGGTGTGCAGATTGTGTGTAGTTCTGTATTTGGATGTTGTCAGTAAATCTCTAGTGTTTATTTAGTTGTGGATATTTGATAAGCTAGGATAAAAAAGGGCTTTATCCAAGATACTGCACACACACTTTATCACACACATTGTAAAACATAATAAGCACACACTCAGATTCAGACACAGAGGATATATTTTTCATATTTCTAAATAAATTATTTGTCTTTTGATCAAGATAATAAACGTTCATAAGCGTAAAACATTCACAGACAGCGGAGACTTCTTTTAAAGTTTTTTTTATTAAAAAGTATTTATGCAGTGCAATTAATCTGCAGGACAAATTCAAGGTACAGCACTTACATACAGTACAAGATCAACAGCAGACACACACACACATACAACGTGAACCTGAGTTACAGTGTACTGAAGAGTGTGAAGTCTGCATGAAAATATAAGACTGTGGCTTCCTGCAGATGAAAACTTGGCAGATAAAAACAATAATAAAACAAAAATCTTGGCACTGGTTTCAGAATAAATCCAATCACTCTGCAAATACAACTGATACACACACCACATACATATCATCTGTATTCTACACATGCAGAAATACTCAGATATAATTAATGACAAGTAAAAAACCTCCTGGTTTGCACACATTTCTCAGCGTCCACTACTGCTGATTTTCAGTGCCGTTATTGTCAATGAGAGGAGGCCGACTTCATGCGGCTGATGGCAGAGCAGCAACAGGACGGTTTAATGAACGGACAGGTGCATGCTGGGAAACCTCGTCACACTATCAGAGTGTCCCTGCTCAGTGCAGTGCTCTGTTAAAAAATACACCGAGAGCCAAACGTTAGACACTTTGAATTCATGCATTTGTAACAATGTGAGTTATTTGGTTAATGGTGATTTTGATAGCGTTAGTGGTGGCAGAGATTGAAAAAGCGCTTTATAGTAAAGTCCATTTACCGTGCGAGGTTAGTGAAGGCTGTAGATATCCTGCAGCTCATGCCATGTTAGTAGTAAAGCCTGTTATACAGATGTTTTCTAATACTACAAAGAAAGTTAGTAGGGATGTGTAACACTGGGATGGTTGCAAGCGTGACCAGATTATACTGTACATGTCTGAGTTAAATCATATTTGCATTGTTTTTGTAAATGTATGCAAAAAATGTATCTACTGGAGATACAATAACATCAAAGCTAAGATTATAAGGAATCAGTGTTAAGACCAAACATCTTGTATGTACATTGAACAAGAGACAATCAGAATATGTACATAATACTGTAAAAAACAAACAAACAAACAAAAAAGCTGGCGTTGTTCTATTGTATTCTTATTGTCAACAAATCCCATTAGAGACTATAACTGATAATGTCTCTCAATACTTTAATACTAGTTTTTAAAACTCTCTTGTTATGAAACAGTGTCAAAAATATTACCTTATTAAAGGTGGGGTAGGTAATTTTGGAGAAACCAGCTCGAGTGCGCTAGAATTTGAAAATACACAACCGGAAAAAATCTGCCACTTCCTCACAGAGCCCCTCCTCCAACACACACGCACGCGCACATGACCAATGAGGGCAGGAGATAAGTTTGTGCACAGATGGAAGGCTGACAGGCAGGTAGGCCATCCAATCATACAGTACTACAGCTTCCACAGATGAAATTTTGTTAAGATATTCATTGCTATCGGGATGTTAAGAGCATTCCATGGAATATAACAAAAAGTGTATCTCGAGCCGGTTTCTCAAACTTACCTACCCCACCTTTAAGTTTGTTGTTTTTTTCAAACATTTTTGATGTGCTTTTTCCTTTCCAGTAGAGAGCTGATAACAATGTCATAGTCCTAATCCCTTAAATCATAATTCTATATCGGGATTTATTAAATAACAAGAAAGCCTTTCTTACCTCATTAAATACACGTACTGTCACTCCTATCATAACTCAACAGGAGTACATCATGCATTTGTTTGGTTTTCATCTGTGGATTCAAACCATTTGGGGGCTGTACATTAGTAACTTTCCCCCGGTTACCTTGAATTCTTAATAATATATTGTTTAAATGTGTTTTTTAAAAGAGAACATTCTCTATAAATTGAAGCAAGACAATTTTAACTACAGCAATACTATATCAAAACTAAATCACTGCTTCACAAACACAAGCATTTTCGCTTAAACCACACTATTAGATAGGGTGCACTATTATATGTTATTGCTCGTCCTATGTAAAAACATCTTGAAAGATGCATGTCTTTGGAGAGTTATTCACTTCAATTCATCAATACTTTCCTCCTTTTTGTACAATTATTGTTAGAATTGGTGAGAAAAACTAAGTATTCTTAAAAAATTTCAAGGTAAAACATGGGATGTGCTGACAATAAGAACAATATAGAATATGCAGAATTATCCAGTAGTTATTGACAGGGTTTAGTGGCTCTTTCCTGAAGGGCTGCAGAAGAAGGAAGTCCTCGTTCCTGCTACAAGTAACTCACCAGGTTTCGGCTCCGCTCCCTCTCCTCTCTCAGTGCTTGGGACGTATCCTGGGGGGGGCGGGTGTAACAGAAAGGCCTCATGGCAGGTTCACTGGGTTTGTATCTCTCTGCTCTGGGAGGCTCTACGGTGCGGTACCGGTCTGCGTTTGAGTCGGCCCGGCGGTACCGCTCAGCCTCGCGCTCAGAGTACGGAGGAAGAGAGTCCTCCTCTTCTGGACGGTTGCTGGGGGACCGGCTGTAGAAACTCCCCTTCCCTCTGGAGCTGCCTTTAGAGGGAGTGTCACTGTCCTCGTCCGCCCTGTAAGCCCCTCTGTCCCCTCTGTCCCCTCTGTCCCCTCTGTCCCCTCTGTCCCCTCTCTCCCCTCTGTCCCCTCCCCTCCCTCTCGCCTTGCTGTCCAACACACTGCTGAGTAAGGTGTCGTCGTATCCTTTGTTTTTTGGCGGTGGACACGGCCGATCGCTGTCCCACGTGTCCCGTCTCTTCTGAGGTAAAGGCGAGGGGCTCCGGCGGCCCCAGCTCTCGTCTTCCTCTCTGTAGAAGCGCCTCGGGGGGCTGTAGTCGCGCTCGTAGCCCCGTTCTGGACGAGAGCGGGAGTTGTAAGACTGGGCGAAGTCCTCCAGCTCGTCCAGAGAGCCGGTCCGTCCTCTTCTGCTCAACGTCTTCCTCTGCAGGTGCTCTGATGTCGGGTTCCACCTGCACACAGGGACACAGAGTTTCAAACATAATAATAGTACTTTTTTATTATTTTATTTATTTTTCAACATACTCAAGACACTTAAAATGAAATGTACGGCCAGTATAAAACTACCTTGAACACAAAAAAGCCCAAAATAGAGTCTAAAATCTGAAATGAATAGAAGCTTTAATAGACAGTCACACTATTTGGTGCTTTTCCCCTCTTAGCACATTCAGAAAAATGCAAAAGATGTATTTAATATTGTATTGTATATAACGAATAAATGAATGCTTCATTGTCACAATAAATAAATAAATATACCACTAATTAAATTATACTATATTATATTCAAATAATGCTATTTTATTGGGGCTTTACCCTTTAAACACATTCAGAAAATCACAAACTATATAATGTATAATAATAACACATGTAGGAGCCATGAAACGTGTATAGTAATGCGTTTTGTTTTAATATAAGATATTTGTTTGATCACCATTGATTGGTTGGCTTGGGTCACATGGCGGCACTCATTATAATCCTGCGTGAGGTGTCTGTGTGGAAGAGAGGGTGACACAGGGTCGTTGTACTTTTTGTTGACCGCAAGTTGAATGATTGCTTTGATTATTATAACAATGTCTATGTCCAAGGAACATAAGTTGATCATCCCAGTTTTCATTAAACTACATGGTCTATGGCCTTGTAGAGGGTAACGGGGTACAGAGTCGCTTAGATAAGCGGGGGAGTGCATCTGACGAAGAGATAGGTTGTTGTGCTCCCTATCTCTGTTTCTTATCTATATCTAATAGAACTGCTCGGGTCTTGATAGATTGAGTGGGGAAGTTCATGAGATCTTTCTAGAGGGTTATCAAGAATAACTTTTATCCAATGACCTTTTCCCTCTCTGTCTGTGTCTGTGTATTCTCTTGTTCCGATTAACCCCGCCAAATCTTTTTTCTTGTTTTGTATCTATATCTACGCTGGGATCCGGAGTCGAGGCTGATCCTCTTGCTGTAGTCCTGTGTCCTGGATCCTCTATCCTGAGTTCTGGATTAAGTCGTGGACTTCGGGTCGTGGCTGAACCTGTCTCTGCGGTCCTGCCTTGGGTCTCGTCATGCTGCTTCCCTGATGGCTTCCACAGGATTGTAGCTGACATCCTCGTGGATTCATCTTCTTATTACAGACACATGCATTTCCTAATATTCGGTCTATATGCTGTAAAATGTATTATCTCTTCGATTTACACACGGCATCTATTGCACGTCTGTCCGTCCTGGGAGAGGGATCCCTCCTCTGTTGCTCTCCCTGAGGTTTCTCTCATGTCCCCTTTAAACTGTGGGTTTTCTCTGGAAGTTTTTCCTTGTACGATGTGAGGGTCTAAGGACAGAGGGTGTCATTTTTCTCATACTGATATTCTGAACAATCTGTGCTGTTGTATTTGCTGTAAAGTGTCTCTACTGTAGGCTATTTTTATTTTATGTACAGCACTTTGGCTCGACCAAAAATCGTTTATAAATGTGCTATATAAATAAACTTGATTTGATTTGATACATTATTTTTCAACAGAGTTTTTTTGATCTCAGCAAGTACTTTTTTGTAGTGTGTCACACAATAGCAAACAGGCCTGGCCTCAACCTCTCAGCGACTTTGTTTGTTTCCTGCTGTCGCTATAACACATTTGTATATATATATTGTAAGTGTTATTGTATTTAAATAAACCTGCTGCTACATCCATTAACTTTATAAATCAAAAGTCAGAAGGGTTATAGGAAATAAAGGTGTGCAAAAGTCAATAAGTCAATTTACAAATAGGTTAACAAATATCTAAATGTCTAAATATTTAGACAAATATATCAAAGTTAAACATTAATATACTTTAGATTTTTAAAACGTATTTATAGTGACAATTTCACATTCATTTACGTATTTTTTATTTAGTTTTGACCCTTAAAAAACCTCCTTGATAAACACACGCACAGACTATGGATGAATTAATCCTACCTTCTGTCGAGCTCGTCGTCTGAGAGGTTGCGTCGGTCTCGTCTCATCCTGCGGTTGTGTGTGTGTGTGTGTGCAGGCGCTCTCAGCGACTGGTCGTCCAGGTCAGCGATGGGCGGCAGCGCCTTCATCTGCACCGTCTGGTAGGTGTGTCTGAAGTCTGACGTGCCTCCGTCGTGAAGAGAGCTCAGCTCCGAGAGGCTGCTGGCTGCAGGGAGAGAGACGGCAGTGAGATGAAATAATATGCCTCACCTTTCACATTTCAGCTGGAGGTTATAATCATGAGCACTGATTACAGCTGACTGCAAATGACTGAGGAAGTACCACCCTAAAACTAGTGTCACAAACAATTTAGAGGATTTCTTTTTAACTACTCTGTTTTCAGAGTATATCATAGTCACAACAACAAATAACATGAGGGAGCCAAAATAAAATAGCTTATTTTAATAGTGTTATTGACCTCAATTGATTGAACTATTGAAAACACATCATCAATTCATATTTCTCCTATGCGATTAACATGGAAAGTCTGCAATAAATGTACTTTATACTCCTTTTACTAACTTTTACTAATAAATAAAAATGAAACATTGACTCTTCCCAATCTAATATGTTGGTTGTAAAATAACCACCAGTTTTCGTCAATTAATTTGGCAAAAAATTGCAATGTAAAATAACAAAAATATTGTACCGATCCTGTATTGCTAGGGACTTTACAAATGTAGAGGCTAAGCTAACGCTTTATGTGCCGCTTTGTTTACATAATAGACGCACACTTTAGCTTATAAACAGTCTGATAAAAATTGTTTCCAAATTGTTGAACACGCAGTCCATTTATTTTCAGTTCGTGTTTTCCATTAAACTTGCATCGTATTTCCAATATCATACAAAAATGACCCTTGACTCAGTAAGGGTAGTTAGATGTTATGAAATGAATGTAATTATTAGATGAAAACTAGCACTGGTTAATTCACACATATCATGCACATAAAACACAAACACATGTCACACAGCCACACAGAGGACACACACTGGTCTAATCTGTGCAGCCTTACGTTTGTGTGCAGCCATCTTTGCAGAGGGAAACTGACCCAGCTCCTTCTCTACGTAGTACAAAACTTTCATTGAGTCCTGGTGTGGACTGGCTTTCAGTCGATAACCACTGTGAGCTGCGGATGGGGCACGCGCACACACACACACACACACACACATACACACACACACAAACACACACACACACGCACATGCAAACACAAGGACATACCCATGCAGGGACAGACACATTTCCACATAAGTGTCCAAAACACAAACCAGACATGATTTTATTAAAAGGGACGGTTCATCCTACAATCAAATCATGACCTGGCTTCTCAAGATTATCCGCACTTCTTGTTGTGATAATTTTCATGTAGGAACTATTTTCTTTCAACAGAACAACATCTGCTAATGAATTGAATGAGTATTTGCCCATTTTCTATTGCACGTTGATACGGTTGGTGGGTGTAGTGTGGTAACAAGAAAATAGTTCCTACATGAAACTACTTACAACAAGGTCTGTTGATTATATTTAGTAACCAGGTTTTCAATTTTGTGGTGAACTGTCCCTACAAACAATTATTTAAACAACAAACATGCAGACATTTCTGTAACACGTACGTCTTGTATGGAGGTTAGAAACAGATTTGAGGATGAATGATGATGAAATGAAGGTTAGTGAAGTCAGTGTAACAGTAATAACTTGAGACAGAGCTTTCTAGTATCTCTGCTTGGTAAAAAACACTCACCTCCAGCCAGGTTATTCTCCACTGAGGGGATGGAGGCCATCTGTGGCTCCACATGGGATGGAGGGGCAAGAGGAACCACAGTAGGAACACCAGGGATGTAGTAAGGATACACAGGAACCTGAGGAGGAGGAGGTCCACTCTTTGCCATCTTCCCTGCTTCATATACTGCAGAGGAGGACAACAAAACAATAAAACTCATGCATTAGTATTGGGGAATCTTATGTGTGTTTTGATGTTTGTGCTGGAGCCGCTTTATCCAAAACAGCACTCCGGTTAGAGAGTTGACACGGAGACAAGAAGTACAGTCGTTGGACCTTATATTAGCTTGGTTCTGATCATCAACACAGAATACATCATGTTTGATGTGGAATCACATATAGGATGATGATAATGAATGAATGAATAGAGAATGAGTAGAGAATGAATTAATGTTTTATTCTTCACGAACGCATTCTCTCTTTGAGATGGTAATTATGCATGTAGGGTTGCCAACTTCCAGAAATGGAGAAACGGGACACATGCAAGATTTCTGGCGGATTTAGTTACTTTTTTTTGTTACTTTATTTAGGTTTTAGGGTTATTTTATTTAATTATTTTGGGGGAGCCAGCCCCCTAGGGTTCGAGGGGTCAAACCCCCCAAAACCCTCAAAATGCATAGAAAACTATGCATACCTATAACACAATACAAACACAATGGTCTTACACCTGCATTAGGCTACTACATCACATTGTACATCAGCATGTTCAAATTGGATAGGTGGGCACATCTGGGCACCTCGATGTACAATTGGCTATTTTGTCCAAAATGTTAAAAAATAAATATTTGAAAAAATGGTATTAAGTAATGCAAAGTATACATGATGTGAACATGCACGGTACATCATTATTAGACTTAATGTTATCCTTCAACCAACCATTTCCCATCAATCAGCTGACTGACTGACTGACTGACTCACACACACACACACACACACACACACACACACACACACACACACACACACACACACACACACACACACACACACACACACACACACACACACACACACACACACACACCACACACACACACACACACACACACACACACACACAGAAGACCCGAGACAGATCTCCACTCACAGGCTTTACCCAAAGTGTTTTTCTTCCACTGTTTGTTGTTAAGACACAAGTCTTTTCTTTTTAGAAGGGCCAGGGCCCAGAACCACATCCTCTCTCTCTTCTCCTCTTTCATTATCACCTCCTCCACCGGCAGCGCTCATTTTCCCACACGACTGAACAGGCTGACATGCCACACAAACAATGATGCTGCGCCCGCGGCCCACCGGAGAAAATCTCACACACACACGTGCGACCATTGTGCCTGCCCTGTCAACTGAGCGGTCCTAGTGCCCTTCGGATACAGCACACAAACACACAGGCACGCAGCCAGACACACTGCATTGCGCGCAAACAGAAAAATATGTAAATGTTTCCCTTTACACGGGAATCCGGGACAAACAAAGTCCCGTACGGGACACGCCCCTTTTGGCTCAAATACGGGGCGTCCCGGCTAATACGGGACGGTTGGCAACCCTATTCTTTCACAACACATACGGGTTTTGGGCCGAGGGCGACACTGTACTTCCGGTATCAACCATTTCACGCGAGGTGCATACAGAATATCATAGTCGATTGCCTTAATCAATATAGTCAACTCTAAAATACCACATATATGCATTGGCATGATAATATTATTGTGACAAGTGGGGTATTCACCTGGTGTTTCCAGTAGATAGACGTAGATGTAGCCAAAATCGACCGAAGGCCACTTTTGAGGGTCGTAATTCCATACATTGTACATCCAACAACCCACACAGCTCTAGTTTACGCTGGTAACGACCTAGAGCACACCCCTCAAGTCCAGAGATGTAATCCGAAGACATGCAGCGATTTCTTCGGTCGTTAATTCAGAAAAAAAACCTAGTGCGCTCTGCCTGGCAACATAAGCTAGCTGTTTATATTAGCATTGCCAGGATTTTTGCACCTCCAGAAAAATGGCGTCTTTATAAAAAAATATATGGCGCGCGTTGCATTGTGGGTAGCTGTGACGTCACTGTGTGTGAAAGAATATGCATGTGACGATGCGACCTCAATAATGTCCTGTCATGAACGCACATGTGTTAACCGTGTAAACAGCTCGAGGACCCGTAGCAGCGCTACTTTAGCTGTCCCTAAATTTGCCTGACTAAAACACAAACGATATAACGCAGATCAAGGAAAACAAGGGGAATTTACAACAATTAGGTTTCTTTACTGCTCCAAAGTTTTGTAGTATCAGCAACAAAGATCGTTTTAGTTTCGGTTTGTCCGAAGGATTATAGAAAAATGTTTTGCCTGTTTGGGCGGCTTTGTCAGGAGGTTAAGTGGTGGTGCACCTTTCTGAGGAATGGCGGTTCAATCCAGCAACTTGTCCCTAAATTCAATGGCTAACGCAGGGTTGCCAACTTTGGGTACCTGGCTGGAGTGAGATTTTAATATCATGGGTTTGATTACACATATGCGCACGAAATGACTGCTATCGTGTCAGTAGCGGGACCTTAGCATATATATAGGATATATATATACAAATACACAATATTGGACACAGACTATAAAGGGCACACAGTTTCATTCACTAATGAAAGTCAAACACATGTTTGTTTCCACTGTTTTATTGTGTGCCTGTCGCGATAAGCAATGAATTGACTTATCGTACGATAAATACAAATGAACTCGATAAATTGCCATTTACATGAGGATGTGACTAGCAGTTTGAAAGGATGTACTTTAATTATTATTATATATTATCATTATGTCAGTGGTCTAAAATGGTCATACAACGGTGCCGACAATATTATCGTTTATCGCAATAATTTCCGGGAAAATGTATCCAACAAAATTAATTATCGTGAGAGCTATACATGAAACACACGCACACAAACAAATCTACAGACTTACTCCAAACTGCCAAATATATTAATTAACACACTCTCACTCTCATACTCTGACTCTATTTTGGCCTATTCATTTCTACTGGATCTTAGATCTGCGCATGCGCAATACGGGGCGGCAGTGGCGGCCACGGAGTATTTGTGTTGGGTAATCTATGGTAGGGCCGGCTAACCCATACAGTGGTGGTGGGGCTCAAATCAGTATTTGCAATGTAATTACATACACGCTCCCCTTGACAGTGAAACGCCACGCGTGAGGTTTCGATTATTTCCCTGTCTCAATCCAAATTGAACTGTATGAAATAAAAAGGCACATTTGTCTTGTAGTAAATAAAAAGGGCGACCTGGAGCCAATCCTGCTATTTCCCCACAGGTGAAAGAGTTGACATGCTGAAAACCCAACCCCTGCCACATTCTGGTACTCTCCTGAGAAGAAAAATAAATACATCTATTACTACACGACATATTTTAAAAAATGAATGCCATTTTAGTTTTGTGTTACTTTGTTCTGAAAGCTGAGCCTGCTGCTCCTCAGAGAGAAGAGGCTGTGTGAATTACTTTACATAGTGGATAAGGGTGGATAGCCCCCATTGTTCTGTGTGTCAAAATGAAAGACAGCCCACACACCTATCAATCATCAAACCGTGGGGTCTTATTTCATTACGTGTTGATTTCTATCAACACGTAATGTTGTATCGATGTAGATATAGAGATGTACTACAGCAAAAGTATTCTCCGTCGGGACTTCCTGCTACAACACAACGCCGTTGTCGTGATTCTGATTGGCCAGAAGACATTATCAAAGATGTTCTATTGAGAAGACGATCACTACGTGACAACAGTTTTCAAAACCGTTTCTAGTCTTCGGTATTCTTGTTTTGGCGTGAGAATAGTTTGGGCAGCGTGAGATTGAGAGTGAAAGCGTGTGTCACACGCCAGATGCGTGAGAGTTGGCAACCCTGGGCTAACGTTGTGAGAGTGCCTGTGGATGTTGAGCTCTTTAGATGAGCAGGTAGCCGTGTGAATGTGTGTGAAGGCGCAGACTAAAAACTCATCTCTTTCGACTCCAGTTCGAGCGATAGAACTATTAACAAAACACTTATATACTAACAAAGGACTGGCTTATCTAAAGCTAGTTGAGTAGCACTTGAAATGTTTTGGCTCTATGAAACCTGATGTACTTTGTATCTTCTTGGTCGAATGCACTTATTGTAAGTCGCTTTGGATAAAAGCGTCAGCTAAATGCAATGTAATGTCTTGTGTCTTAAAGTGGTTGTAAAGACAAGAAAAGCACTAAACTAAAACAACTAAACATGGGTATAACATGGGCCAAGGAAAAAGCCAAAACATTTTAAACTGATTGTAATCATGGACCAGATACACTCGTCTTTTTTCATTTTTGTTGAAAGTGCATGCATGGCCCGTGGTGGAGGTTAATGCCCTTTGTGTACCCTTTAAGATTGCTGGTGTAATAGTTTGTGTTACTCACGGTGTCGTGGACAGCAGCAGGTTTCAGGGCAGCAGCAGCAGCTGACGTAGCAGCAGCAGGAGTGAGGACAACACTGGCACCAGCAGATCCCCATCAACAAGAGGAACAAGACGCTGCCCAGGACTACAGATCCCACAAACACCCACTCTGGAAAACAGACACACAAAGGTATTACTTCTTGATTTGTATAAGGGTTGGGAGGATTCTGACTTCATAATTGCAATGATAAGTTACGAAAAAGTGATATTTTGGTCCTTCGTTCGTTCACTTTTGCTTGTAATGGTAGGAAAAATGTTTAAAGCTACAAGTAACAGCCAAAGTCTTATTCATGTTTCCCTCTCATCTTTAATGAAACCACAGAGGAAGAAAGGGAGAGGAAACTAAAAAAGGAAACTATAGGAGAACTGGAGGGAGCTTTGCATTTCTCTTATCCATCATCACATCTTGAAAGCATCCCGACCCTAACAACACATTTCCTCAGGGTGTGCCCAAAAGCAAAATCCACTCCAAACCCCTCGCTAAGTCAACACATATTCCCTGTGGAGTTCAAACCGTGACCAGAGGAAACAGATAAAAGCTGTGAGTCTGTGAATATTTCTTATTGTAGCTTCAATGACTATTCGTGGGAAATGTCAGGTTAGAGGCTTCTTTCTGTGCATTTTCCAACAAGTGCTCATACTTAAAATGTGTTGGTGGAAAAGAGTTCTGGTTGTTGAGTGAGAAATAAACATGAGGAAGCTTTAGAGAAGCTAGAAGATGCCATGCAGAGAGGCAAAAGTGCAGGTGAGGTGCCGTACCTGGCATAATCTCCACATCAAACTCAGGTAGGATATCGTCCTTCTGACCTGTCCTGCCTGCAGAGAGAGGGAGAGCACAGGTGAAGGCCGGCAGAGGAAGCAGAAAGCAGTGAGAATCAAAAGGTCAGCAGGGCGGATGACTAACGGTCACGCACTGATAAGGAAACTGTAGGGAGAAACTTTTTTAATCAAGTTTTGTATCTGACATGTTGCTATGACGATGAATAACGACACGCTAACTTAGCAACTCGAGAGATGGTAATGTTGGTTGTCATGTGATATCAACAACTATTCAGATGGACTATCATTCATTTGCAGATATTTAAGGTCCCCAGAGGAGAGAGGCTTCTTAATTTGGTGAATGATATTGATACAGAGGACCTAGTGTGGCTTTAGACTTTTAGTCTTCTTATCACATGAATGGGCAGAGTTCATGCTAACAAAATGTGATGCCAAAGAATGACTTAGTATGTCTATAAAAACATGAAACTATAAAAATAAATAATGTAAGTCAGAGGTCAAAACGCACTTTACTTTGTATCTATCTTTAGCAGGAGGGAAGCAGTGCTATCATTTCTATATTGATGTGCACACCACACATGAGCCTCTTTTGTGGCGTTAAAACAGCACACAGACAGAGTAATCGGTACCACTTTACAATAAGACTAGCCTTATAAAGGGTTTACGAATAGTTTGTAATTAATTTATTAATTAGGTTTTGAACACTTTATAAATCATTAATAAGCTTTTATAAGACATGAGATAAACAGGGCAATTGTGACCGGTTGCTTGCCAAATAATGAACCCACATTTATCTGTACTGCTAAGCCTTATATTGGCTACCTAGCTTACTTCGTCTCCTTCATCAGCCAGCATCCTTGGTATCTGTTGCTCACTGAGTTGATTCTCGCTAAGTAGCCAATATAAGGCTTAGTCATCTTGCCAAATAGTGAGCCCGTGTTGATGTATGAAAACTATGTTAGAACTGTTTTAGAAATGGTTCTTAATGATTAATAAAGTGTGTGCAACCTCATTCATAACCTAATTATAAACCCTTTATAAGGGTAGTCTTATTGTAAAGTGGTACCGAGTAATCTATACACATGCAATATGCATCCATATGTGCCATTAGAGGCGGTGTGTGAGGATAAATTGGGTTTATTTGTAAACTGGGGCACATATCGATTCTGGGACAACAAATTACCGTGGAGGTTTGTGCTTCATATAGAAAACAGGTCAAAAGAGGCCATTTGAAATACTGTAAAATATAGAAAAGTAAAGGGACAGTATAGAGTGCAGAGGCTGCAACACAACTGCAGGTGTTCATGTTTCTAATGTGTGTTTATGCCGAGGTGTCAAAGGACTATAATTACATTAAAGACCAGTCACTGTCTGAGGAGGGATAGACTTAAGCTTGCACTGGCTGCAGAAAGTGCTGAGTAGACTGTTACCACGGAGGGGGAAAGCAGCGTACCCTCCCAACCTGATAAAAAGTAATCTGGGTTCCCTGCTGGCACACTGATCTACATACCATGAAGCTCAGTATCACTGAGTAACCTGAGAGAGCCGAGGAGCTATGCAGCCCAAAGAAGGAGGGAGGCAGTGAAAGATGCAGGAATGAGTCACGGAGGAGCAAGATTTTGCAAGAATAAAAAGGGAGAGCCAAGGGAGTGAAAATCAATCCAAAAGAAAAAAATAAACTGGAGAAGAGAGAGATGGTGGGAGAATAAACATTTATTCTTGTTGCTTAATATTATATTTTGGGAAATATATTTAGATTTCTTGCAGAAAGTAAGGTGAACAGATTGACACCACGAGCTGTTAGCTTAGCCTAGCATAAAGACTGTAAGCAAACATGTCTTTTTTTTTCATCCATAAAAACCACACGTTTAAAATCAACGATTCTAACAAACCAAGATAAAGTAGGCAAATCGTTAAGCTGGTATTTTGTTACATTCAAATGTAACCAAGCTAGGTGTTTCCAAGACATATATATAGTTATCTCTTTATATAAACTAACATTCTAGGTGGTTATTTGTAAGGGCAATTTTTTTGGCTCAAAAGTAGGAAGAGAGATTTGTTTAAATGCAGTTTGAATGTTAAAAATACACTCAGCCAATGTGGAGATATCAACGTCAAAGGTCATGAAAACTAACTTGCAAATGTGAGGGTGTATCGACAAACACAACACCAGTTTGCTATCAAATGTGGCTGGTTTCAACATTTTGATCAATAGAAACATACATTTAACATTTGATGTAGGGGAAAACATTGCTGAGAAGTAAGAACATGTGTGGAAATATTTCCTCAATGTGTTTTATCAAGAGCTGGGAAGAATAGATATGCTCCTATTCCAGTCTTTATTGCTAAACTAAGCTAGGCTAAACTAAGCTAAGCTAACCACCTGCTGTGAGTATTGACAAAGAACAATAATAGTTGTAATTGAAGCTATGAGAGTGGAATCAATCTTCTTATCTAACTGTTGGCAACAAAGCAAAACATTAATATTTCACAAAATGTAAAACTAATTATTTTAATTTTGATGCACTCAACTTGATCTCAGAACGGATTAAATGTGAAATAATAGGTTTTAACACACTTTGATCAATCCAAGAAAAATCAGTGTAGTCTTGTTATTCTCACACATTTAAACCCCCCCTCTTCTCACTGTGAGCTGATTATAATCAGATTAGCGCTCAACGGAGGAGCATTTTATGAATGAGCAGACGCTAATGCTACATGCAACACCAGAGTATAAAACAATGTTATAAAGAGAGAAAACTATTTTTGAAGAATTGTTTTGAGGGTTTAAGGATAATTTATTGTCATTAGTTAATATTTTTCCTATGTCTCCCTTTTCATGTCTACACCAGCAGCACTCAGCAGTCTCCTCTGTAAAAAGCATGTTGCCACGGTAACGGCTTAAGGAGTGGTTTTGACAACAATGGTGTCCACAGTTTCTTTGACTGAGAGGACATTAGAGTCTCATTCAAGGAAGACGGGGAATCTCTGACCCTTTGGCAGTAAAACACTTGCTGCTTCATTGATCATTAATTGGCAACAAATTCAAAATTACAGTATGACAGAAAAACCGTTGGACATGTGATCCCATACAGCACTTTTGGATATAAACTCTAAATGAGTTCCTGATAAATGTACTTTTAGGAAAAACAAATGAATGAATGTAAACAATTTTTCTTTTGCTAGTGAATTTACTTTTGAGATGTTATTGCGTATGTTAAAATACATAATTGTTTAATATTATTTTAATAGAAATATGTCAATTTTTTGGAATCAATTGTTTTACATTTACTAATGTAACATTGATGTGTAATTCTCAAGTAGTTTAATTTTATATTTTCATTTTAAGGTTATCAGGGAATGTATGAAACTACTTTATACTTCTTCTGCTACATTTTAGTCAAATATTATACTTTTACCAACTATTATTTGAAAACGTATAAACAAGTAAATGATGGTTTATTAATGTAAAGCTACCCAGCAGTATCATATGATTTTATACGATTTTGTTAGTCTCATTAATGTTAGCTTTTTACTTCTGACAATTGTATTCATGTTTTAAAAAACACAAAAGTTGTCTCCATTTGTAAAGAAGATATAATCTTGCCAAACAAAACATTTTAAGTATCATAAACTTCAGACTGCAACAGAGCTTATTTTTCTGCAAAAGTCCACGAGAAAAATCTACAACTTTTTGGGTTGTCCTACAGAAACAAGCACCAATGCAGAAGCACCCTGTTGCTACTTTGACACAAGTTAAAGTCCTCTCCTACCACTGTAGTGCTAAATCGAGTAACGAGCCAAACACCATGTGGCCGTCTCCATGGAAACTGTTGTAAAGAAAATTCGGAATGCAGGGCAACAAAGAGATCTCTAAAAACTCACATAGAAACTCCACTGAGCTTAAAATGAAAACATTAGATCATTTAAAAGAAAACTCTTCCCAAGTCGATCACAATCAGGCATCAGGAGTTGACTGTACTTTGATAAAAAATGAAGTGCAGGCATACCAAGCACCAGTAACTCCAGCTGGGCCTCATTCTTCCCCTCCAGATCATCAGCAATGACGACTTTACAGTAGTAAACTCCACTGTCGCCCCACTGCAGCTCCCCGATACGCAGGTCTGCTTCTGCACGGAGACAGAGTAAGGTTTGATGTAATAAGTAAAAGGTGAGAGCATTTTCACAAAGCAAGTCAAACAAATGACAATTATCACTTTGTTAAACAGTTGCAGGCACAGCACACATTGATGCCTGTGTTATACAATACAAATACATGTGGAAAACAAAAACAAATGCCATGTAGTGACTATATATTATTATTATCAGCATGCCACTGAACATTTATTTAATTACTTTGTTAAATGACAACAAGAGGGTTTCATAAACATGTGGTATGTCCCATTGACACATTTGGATAGGAGACGGGTGTTTTGTCTTGATAAGGCTTGAGGTTTTCAAGGAGTCATACATGAATAGGAGGTTGTGATGTGTGTGTGTGTGTGTGTGTGTGTGTATGTGCTACTCTTTTGTGAAACAAAGACAAAGGAGGTTTATTTAGAGAACAGGAAACACAAAGCACAGTCAGCTCTGACTCCTGAGTGCAGGAATCAAACAGCTGCAGCAACTCTTTCTCCTTAAATCTGGGGTAGTAAGCTTTTTTGTTGGGCGTGTCTTTAGACAAACATTCTCTAATAACATTTCAGCACATTGTAATTAATGTGCTCTGAGAACAAATTAAACTACTATATCTACTCTTGGTTTGTTTGTAGGCCTTAGAAAATCTAACTCTTGATGGGAAACTTTGTCTAAGCACCAGGCGTTTCAGAGAGAGGATGTTCCTATTGGCTGTTCAACAAAAACAGATGGATTTGCACGTCCCTTCAGATAAGGAAAGCTTGGTACAATGTAGAATATCCTGCAGAAAAAGTTGCTTTCCCAGCATTGGGAACAAGAGACTACACTGCAAAGCAACCCTAAAAAGACAGAGAAAATATTTCTCATACGGAAGATTAGCTTGCTTCTAATGTAGGCAAACTCTCTGCTGCTATGTAGCTAACTAGAGCCTTACATCACAGTATGTTAGCTCAAAGGGCTTTGAAGACTTTCATGTTGACAGGCAGTAATTCTCATAGATGTACAGTACCAAAGCTGAATCCTTGCTACCGGTTTAAATCCAACTTACTGCCCTTTGCTTCATGTTGCACCCTCCCTCAACTCCTCTCCAATCTATCTGAAGAAAAGGCCCAAAAAATATTTTAAAAGAAAAAAGAATTGGCACTATGTTTTGAATCTGGATCACAACCACCAAAATGAATAACCTACTACTCATTATGGCTTTCTACAGAAAACTGGCTCGTCTTCAGAGCTGGGAAGTAGTGGAGTACAAATACTTCGTTACTGTACTTAAGTACATGTTTCTGGTGTCAGTACTTTACTCCACTACTTATTTTTCTGACGACTTTTTACTTTTACTTCTTACATTTTAAACCCAAATACCTGTACTTTCTACTTCTCTCATTTTCAAAACAGGCTGGTTCCTTTAGTTTGAATGTGTGTTTGGTGGCATGATCATTATTATTTAGAGTCATTGCGTGCCTATTGATTTGAACACGATCTGTGTATCCATCATTTCCTGGTCTTCTCTAAAGAAGAGGGACCAATGAAAACGTTGTCATGTTGCCGTTGTTCAGCATGGAAACATTCATTAGCTAACAATGACATTATTGTTCTATTAATATAAAGGGAGGTCAGGTACTCTTTTTAAAACAGCTGGTAGTTATGGGTACTTTTTACTTAAGTACATTTCAATGCCCATATTCCTTAATTTGACTTGAGTGAAGAAGTTTAGTCAGTACTTCTACTTTTACCAGAGTATTTTTAAACACGAATATCTGTACTTCTACTCGAGTAAAGGATGTGTGTACTTTTGCCATCTCTGCCTATCTTTAATTAACAACTTTAGGATACAAATGAAGACATTACTGTTAACGATGGCGATGTCTCTGCCTTTGTAGTGCTCAGCCAGCGTCATGGAGGCCCCCTGCGCCGAGGCCACGACCCGGACTGTGCGCCCGCTGTCGGAGCACTCGAGGTGGGACGAGGGGCCGAGCTCGGAGCCCTGGACGCCCAGTTTCTCCGGCAGGGTGAAGGAGTCTTGGGTTCGGTCTCTGCAGTACGACTTGTACCACCACTGCACCACGGGGTGCTGGTTGGAGGCCGTCTGGTACTGACAGGGGAGGACCACGGACTGGAAGAGCATCGCAAAACGCTGCTTCTCCCGAACTGTGACATGCACACCATCGCACACACACACTAAGAGAGGAGAGAGAGAAAATGAAAATGGGAATTAGTTGAGATGTAGATAAAGAAATGTACACAAATACTATGAAGAGCTTTGTAGAGCTGACTCCCATCATGCAAATGTTGCTCAAAGATCAAAATGTTGGCGGCAAAGTAACAACACAGTAGCAGAGTATCAGCATTGAGAAATACCAGGTTAACACAGACATCAACACACGGCACCTTCAAAGAGTTTATTCATACAGTTATCTCTCCCAGTATGACAATTAAAAGAGACACAAATAACAGCCTCAAACCCAATATAGAGTATATAATGATACAAAACAGAGGAAACAAGCCCATCCTCAGATTTGAGAGGCAGACATTTAAGCAGTAATGACTCTTACATGTCTAATATGTGTAATGTGTACTTGTAAAGCGCTTTGAGCACCTGTAAAAGCGCTCTAATAAAAAATGTAATGCATTATTATTATTATTATTATTAAGTTCTTGTCAATTCAAACATGACTGAGTTTAAAAGTGAAATGTACCTAAATTAATGCAGCCGCCTATAATACAGTAACCCTGCAACAAATCATGATGTCATGTTGTCAAGGTTGTGTCTTCTAAGTCGCTTTGGATAAAAGCGTCAGTTAAATGCAATGTAATGTAATGTAATGTTATGATAGACATTTTTGCTTTTGCTTACAACATATTTGAGAGGTTGTAAGAGGTTGAGTTGTGCTTTAATAAGGGCAGTTTATTTATAGTTGTTTCTTATATATTGAATTAATGGTCTGGTCTATAAAGATCAAGAAAAATAGGCAACTGCTCAGTATCATTTTTGAAAGTTAGGTGTCCCACAAAGAAAGAAAAAAAAAATCAGTTTATTATTAATCAAGACAAACAGCAAGCAGCAGTAGCAACATGTACAATTAAGAAGCTGGAAATGTTGCTTTAAAATCTAAATAGTTGTCAACAAATGTTTCGTTGATCAACTTATTCATGAATCAAATGCAGCTCTAGTTTCTGTAGAAAAACAGTTTAAAGACAGGAAGACAACTTGGTCACATTGGAAACAGCTGTGCCTCCTCTTTGTCTGTGTGTATGATTCACAACACCTGGGAGATATTCATATTAACCAGGAACAGATATTATGTGTGTGTGTGGGGGGGGGGGGCTCCTCTGGTGCTCAGGGTCAGGAAGGTCAAATTCCTGTGAGTGTGGGGGTCTGTGGAGAGGCAGGGGGTTGTCATCACAGGGGAGGGGATGGAGAGGTCGGACACTCGTGGGTGCTTTCTGCTACTCTTATTAGCTCTAGGTGGGGCAGGAACTCACTGTAAACATTTCCCAGAAACACAGGAAATCCAAACAAAACATGTCCACCAGCCTGACTCTCCTTGGGACCGTGTATCGCTTTTATCTCGAATGGACGTTTTTCTTTCTAGTCTCCTTCTACTTTGAGCATGTCTACTTATATCCAGGACTAAAAGTAGTTTTAATCATGGTTAATATGTAATGTTAAGTCTATGAAATCATGGGAAAAAGTGGAAAAGTGAATGTCTTTGGATGTTTGTCTGATTAACAGTTCCAATCTTGTAGATTTTCTGCTTACAATCCCCAGTTTCAGATGTTATCCGGTAATTAAATGCCTGGTATCAGTTGTTTTCACTCCCACTCTTATTCTTCAGATGGGGCGACCTGCACCCTCTATCTATAAGGCCAGAAGAAGCCTATCCAATGTCATAAAAATGGTGGCAGTTATGTTAAGTTTTACTTCAAGTTACATTAGTTTTAGTCGTCAAAAGCTATGTATGTTACTTAACTTTGCTTATGTTCGTTTAAATGACATAAGGATGTACTTCTGGTTTCAGACCAGACACAAACTCCAGTTTCCAGGGTTTAAGTCCTGCCTTCTTTTATTTATATTGGTGAGCCTCCATGTTCTTATAACGTACTTGTACCATATATTTGGGTAACCTCGGATGACAGCCATTTAATGGACTGATAATCGTACGCCGGTTACACAAATAGATAGAGTTACATAAAAGGCATTTAACCATTGTTATGACAATAAACCTTTGAATCTTGAAGCATGACATTAGGAATCATGACATTAGGAATGATTGAACCAAAACATTTTTTAATTTCTGCTTGAAAATGACTAATGAAACTAACCAAAGTTCATGGTTGTTATTTTAAAGTAGTATTCATTCTTCATGAACTAAAACCCCAATAAATCAAGTGATTTTGATGACATCTTGAGACTGGCCAGATGAGCATCATCAGGTTTCCTCTCAACTACACGTTATCTTTAGTATGATGATGGTGGTGGTGATGGAGCAAGAGGGGTTTACAGGCTAAAAGAACAAGAGGAGGGGTGACCAAACTCTTAAATTCCTCCTACGGGAGAGCTCTGGTCTTCCCTTTGTTTCTTTTTTTCATGGACCAGTCCATTGTTAGGGCTTTGCTGAAAATCCCCCCCTTTCTGCCCCACTTGAGGAGTTTAGGAGGGGGAGGAGGTCAGAGTCTCCCGGCCAATGGGAGTATCCGTCCTCCTCCAGCTGGCTGTGAACAGACCAATTAACTTCGAGAGATTTGAACCAAACCGTTACTCAGAGCATGCCATCAGTCTGAGGTGAGAGGAGGTTTGAGTCTCAAACTGTAAACTATTGTTTGCATCAGGTGTGACTCACTGTAGGTTAATGAGCAGGTAACAGACCGTCTCCTCCTCCACCTGCATACTGACTAAGGACCTCATTTCAACATCAGACTCCCCTTTTGAACAGTGTCATGAAAACACTCCAGGTCATAGCTCTGCTGCCGTTTCCTGAACACAGTCAGACCTTTCCTCTCCAGAGCTGTCACATTTCCTGCTCTTACTGCGTTGCACATTCCTTCACATTGACTCATTAGACCAACAAAAAAAACCTGATAAAACTCAATATAGTCTCCTCCATGTTTGATTATGGATTTTAATATATTTTCATAGGACTGTTCTGCCCACAGGTGCCCTTTTAGTCTTCTTTAGACCTGGTGTGCACTTTAGGGTCTCAAATTGAACTTTTATAGAGCAGCAGATAAAGTGTATTTTCATGTTTTGATTAATCTACCAATCATAGACTTGAAATTGGTTAATTGGATTGTTTATAACATCTCAGAAAACTGTGAAAAATCCCTGTTTTACATTCCAAAACCCTAAAAAGATTATTAATTTAAAAATAACTTTACTTAATTAACAATATATTCAAATCATCATCAGCATTTTACTAGTATAAGAAAAACATGATTATATATATAAGAAAAGCACCGGATCATCACATTTGAGAGCCAAAGACCAGGGCATGGATGACATTTTGCTTGATATTTGACTAAAGCTACATTCATTATCAGATATTTGCTAATTATTTTTCTGTCGTAATCAACTTATCCTTGTAGCTCTTGGTATATTGCTATTTTAAAGTACAGCTTTATCATTAAACAGTGTGCTTTAAAATGTACAATCATGGTTTTACATCGTTTTTTGTAATGGCATAGTTTATACAATACACATAGGCTTATAACAGCAAACCATAAGCCCCTAGGGAATATCATTTACACATGTCAGGGTATAAAGTAAACTATAAAGTAAAAACAGCTATATTTAACACACATCCCAAGGGGATTATAAGGGCTGGCAAATAAACTCCCTCACATGTTATTAAACCGTTAGAAATAGTGCAAAACATGTTTATAATGTTGCATTAGTCAAATTGAATTACAGAAATGGGCTATAAAGCATGAAAAAGCCACTTTACTGAGTCCAATGGGTGCCTGGGATAAGTAACACCCTTGCTTTAGGATCAACCTGTTGCTCGGTCGTCGAAGTGAAAACACATTTTTAGAGAATAATACATATCAAAGTGAAGGAAATTAGACTTACCCAAGGCTCCCAGTAAAAAAGCAAGCCGGTACAAGTTCATTATACAGTCCGTGTTATTGTAAAGTGCAGTTTATCCGCATGTTGGTGATTCAGGTTGTCCGCTAACTGCAGCAGTAAACAGGACTCGCGGACTGAGACTAACGGGACTGTACCACTTCATGCAGAGGTGAGTCCAAACACTAAACTCATCTAAAATACTGACTACTCCTATGCTTTTCTTTTATACACCGCATATGTAAACTATATTGTTTCTTAAGTTTATATTTATTATGGAATCTAATTTTTGTTTTCTCCACCGGGTGTAGCCCGTAGCCGTAGTGCCTACCGGGCAGGGTGGTGAGGTCTGCCCGGTGTGGAGGTGGAGGAAGGAGGGGTGGCAGCAGCTCCATGAGTAAATCAGGTCAGACTTTGCTGTGAGATTTCAGGAATTTTACTGCACACAAAAAAACCGAAACATTTGACCCACTTTCTTTATTAAACTCCATTTGATTTATCTTCATGAGAAGAAAAAAAAGTGTTTTACATCCAACATTTACACATAAAAACATAACAAAAAAAAGGTAAACACAAATTGTCGCTTGAAGTGAAATTAATTTCAATAAACTCACAATAAAAAAATGCAATACAATAAACTGCAGGCTATGAAGACGTTTTTCACACATATGTATCCGTGCAACTGAGGCAGTAAATCAGCCAGTTTTTAATCATACATTACAGGTTAATCAGACTAAATAATGTACACACTCTAATTGGCAGCCTGAAACAATTACTAAGAACATTACTGAAGTCGATGGGTGGCCTGCATATTTTAACTTTTATTGTATTCATGATTGGGGGTAGTTTAATGACCAATTTACATTCATTGAGATTTTGGCACTTGGCCAGTTTTTATAAAAAAACAAAAACAAAACACAAACAAACAATATTAATGCTAAAAAGGATTTTGGTATACAATTTATCAAAGGCTCATTACTCATTGCCCATCTACCCAATGGTAGATAATCAAATATGTTTAACATTGTGTCGTTAATAGTTCCTGATTAGGAGTATATTACAATTGTTTTTCCTCATCTCAAATATAGCAAATTTACTGTGAGTTAAAAATGTTGCCACCTTGGGAGCTTTAGGTAAACACAGCAACAACACTTATTCTCCACCGTATATGTGTAACCACTTTACTGTCACTGGTGATCAAACGCACTTTTACTATACTATTTGAGTAAATACTACAACTTCTCTGTAAGTCTGTGACGTCATTGGGACCGAAAATACATTTTGCCATCGACTTTCATTGGAAAAGAGGCCTCTTTGAATCAACGGATTTTTTTTTTTTTAGCTAAATCATCTATCCAATACGATATAGAGTTATTTCCTTATATTGACTGAGCCAAGACCGTCCGTGACGCTGTGGATTGGAGGCAGGGTTTAGGGAAAACACTAAGGCCACAGATCCGGTATTTTTGTTCTAGAGTCTGGTCATTTTGGTTTCATGCGCATTTCTCATATGAACAATGCCACCCACCCACCCATCCATCCACATCTCTTTTGTTTCCATATTTCTTGTCAAATCAAAGCCTTATTTTAGGGACAAGCCATTATTTGAATGTGGACTTTTACCAATGCTATTTGAGTACAAACGTCACAAACTTGTATGGTTTTTGCAAGAATGCAATGTAGCTGTTTCTTTATGACGAGACCAAGCACTAAGCCAATCAATTAACCCAATAAAAGAGTGCATCAACCAAAAAATGTGTTTCAGTGCATTTAAAGAATATTCAGTAACACATTGTTATTAATACCGGTTTCTGTTTTGATCATCGGTGTAATCAAGGCGATCACGGCTTCCACCATGACGATCGTATCGGTCATCAAGACGATCACGACTGCCTCCGTGACGATCGCGATTTTCATCAAGGCGATCCCTACTACCGACGGAACGATCACGATTTTCGTCAAGTCGGTCCTGACTGCCTCTGTAACGATCGCGATTCTCATCAAGGCGATCCCTACTTCCACCAGAACGATCCCGTTGATCATCAAGGCGATCCCGACTTCCACCAGAACGATCCCGTTGATCATCAAGGCGATCCCGACTTCCACCAGAACGATCACGTTGATCACCAGAACGATCACGCCTGTCGTCTTGCGGATCAACGCTTCCACTGTAATGACTACTACGTTCATCTTCAAGACGATCAGGACGGCCATCGTAACGATTACGCTCATCATCAAGGCGATCTCGACTTCCAAGATGGCGATCCTGCTGGTCCTCCTGGTAACGCTGAGAGTCGACATCACTTCCCTTGCCCGCATGCTTTTCTTGACTGCTATAATAACTCTGTTGATCCTCCTCTAACTTGTTTGCAGCTCCTACGCTGTAGGAGCTCTCAGGAAGATTTTTGTCTTCGTGCTGCTTGACCTGCTTTATGTCACCCTTTGACTTGTCGTCCCAGTACTGCTCTCCAGCTTCGGCAGCGTCTTTGTCATAATATGACGCTTCTCCAGGGGAACTAACAGACAAACAGAAACAGAATACACAAAATAAATGGTAAAGCTAGGTAGAATAATCTAATCGAAGCATCTTTAAAGATCACTTATGCTACATTTGGACTAAACTGTACTTCATGGCTATTCCCAACTCAGCTCAGTTGGTTTTCCATTAGCCAAAGTTGTGGATAGTACCCAAGCCTCCTAAAAGAGCGCCGACCGTTGAATCAAATTGTTGTAATGGCCAAACGGTGGTACTACACCCCGTTATAGTCCATGGTGTAACTTTGACTTACATTTTAAATGCCTTTGTGATGTGCTGCAACCCATTTTCCCCTCGGGGACAAATAAACGAATACTACTACTACTACTACATTGGGAAGATACAATACGTCGTAAATCAGCTGAAAAGGCTGAGCTAAATAAACTACCCAGATGTCGACAAAACCTTGATTGAGGTTCCATGTTAAAAAGCAGATAGTTGATGGTGGAGTTAAATCACTACAGACAACTGATATGTCAGGGAACCCTTGGCAACCCATTGTCACAAAGCCGCACTTTTGAAAAAGCCAAAGATACCATCAAAAGCAACTACACAATGCAGTACAGTGAATTGACAAAGTGCACTAAAGATGCACAACAATTTGACGCAGCTTTAGCTATCAAAAAATACTCTCTCCTCAACTCAAGGGGTTCATATCCATTGTGGAAAAAACGAAATAAAGAAGTACTGCTCCACAGAGTAGGCATTCAGTCAAGCGGAACCATGCAGTAGAAATTAGGCATTTGTTACTAAGAAAACACGAACATAAATGTGTGGTTTACAGCGGCAGAAAAACACAGTATTGATCAAATGGCACATTTCCACTGCAGCGGGGTAGCCCCGTTTAAGCGTCCCTAATGGCGCGTTTCCACTGCAGCGGGTAGCTCACTTTAAGCGTCACGAGCCGTGCGGGGCCCGTTTTTGGTTGCGTTTCCACTTGGCCTAGTTTTGGCCCGGGGCTATTTTTTCTGGCCCGACTAAATCGTGGTTCTAGGGCCAGGAACAACCAGGCTGAGTCGGGCTGAGTATGCTAAACTAGAGAGAGAATCGCTGACAAGGGGGCTACAACTACAACAACATGAACATATGTGACCGTGATTTAATTGTAATACACGTTTCAAAAGGATGCCGAATTAACAACATACTGATACCGGTTAGTAAAAACCATGAATTAATGCTTTGACAAGTCTGCAGACAGACGGCAGGCGAAAAACCCTTTTAAATTGCGTGCTTTCTAAATGGAGCTTGGCTAAGCTAACGCAGTATATGCTCCGACCGTCTACACTCACAACAACGGCCTATACAGACATAAATAAACCAGCGACTGTATTCGCCATGACACAGGCAGTCTGTGGTTTGTACTTGTTTAACTTTTGTCTAGTTTCTGAACAGATATCAGGAGCTGTGAGCTCTGAGTGCTAAGAGCTAACGGCTGTGTTGTTTTTCTGGGGCTCTCATTGAAGATGACGTCACGGCTCCGCCTACACTGCGTTACTATAGTAACTGCCCCAGTTCCTAAACTGTAATGGAAGCGCAGCATTAAAGTGAGCCGGCCCAGGCCTAATAAGGCCTAATAAGGCCTAACCAAACCGAGCGAGGCCTGCAGTGGAAATGCGACATAAGCGTCCTCGCTCAGGCCGTCCGAGGCCGTGGCGCATTTTCCATTACAGTTTAGGACCTGGGGTAGCAACGCAGTGTAGGCGGGGCGATCGGCTTTTTTTCTTTTCACATTTCGAGTTGTTCCGTCGAGCTGCCGCTGGATTTTATCATCCCCAATGAGATGTAGGAACGTCGTCACCTCCTCGGTCGACCACGGTGTGCTTTTCTTTGACGTTGCCATTTTTGTAGCTCCTCCGTTTACAAAAATGCTGTGTTTAAAAATGCTGCAAGCTTTCTTCTAGATATATATGCGACGCTAGGGATGATCTCGCGCGCACTTGTGACGATTCTCTCTGACCAATCAGCAGTCGAGAGTGTTGACGTCACTAGTTCAGCCCTGGCCTGATAGAACCACGATTTTATGGGGCTGGCAAAGAGGGAAAAAGTACCCGCTAGCCGGTGCTACGCTATATGGAAAGGCCACCAAAAACTGGCCTGGCCGCTTGAGGACGATTAAGGACGCTTAAACGGGGCTACCCGCTGCAGTGGAAATGCGCCAAAACTTACCCTTCAGCGTACTCTTCCTTTTTGCCCTTTTTCTTGCAGCAACAATAGGCGACAATTCCCAGCAACACAACGCCTGCGAGGACTCCTACAATTATACCGACAGTGGACCCAATTTTCATGCTGCCTGAAGAGAAAGAAGGAAAGAAAAGAGGTGTTCACACTACTTAGTCTGAATAAGATCAGAGGGTAAATCTTTGTAAAACACTTACCAGGCGTCACAGCCAAAGTCAAGTTGCAGGAGGAAGAACCAACTCGATTTGTTGATGTGCAAATGAAGAAACCAGACGTGTCTAATGAAATATTGTAGAGAGACAGAACTCCAGCCTCTGCAAAATAATGACAAAAATAAGGCTTAACAATGTTGATTTGATCAGAATCAAAATCAGTAATAAAGTAAAAACTAAAGTATATAAATATATTTATAAAATATAGAGAAGTTAATCTTCAGACGGTCACAGTCTACAGTATAAAACAACAATGTAAAAACATGTATATTACAATATAAAGCAGTGTATAAATAGTAATGATATTAAAGCCTGAATACCAGGTTATTGCTTAAAATGTACATTATAATATAAAAATAATGCCAAAGCAGCTAGTATTGCGGTGGACCCTCCAGCAGCCATGTCAAAAATATTTGCTTTCAAAATAACACATGGATAGTAAATTGCATACTTTCTGTCGTCTTAGCTGGAAATGGTCTGGCAGTGCTTTTGACACTGAAGCTTTTCCACTCGTATGCAGGTTGTGGTGATCCGTCCTCAGACATGCAGGTGAGGCTGATGTTGTTAAAGTATGATGCTTCTCCCTGAATCTTACAGATCGGTGGAGACGGAGGGACTGGACGAAAAAAACACAGAATTGAACATAAAAACTTCATGATGCAGAACTTTGTAAGCAGAATTGATTTAAAGGTCCCCTATTATACTGTTTTTCATCAATATATTATAGGTCTAAGATATATACAAAACATGTCTCTGAAGTGTTTGGCTCCAAACACCAAACAGATCATTGCAGCATCCCATAACCCCCTCTGTTTCAGCCCTGTTTCAAAAGTGCTGATTCTCTGTCTGAAGTCGAATAGTCCATTAGGAACCTTCCTAATGGAGTGAAATGACCCGGAAGTCCCTCAGTGGCAGCCATGATAAGTGCTGTTCGAATTCTCTAGATGATAGGAAAGGAGGTTTCAAACTTCCTTTATAACCTCCTTTAGCTTAGGAACCACTGGACCTCCCTTGACGAAAGGAGAGGAGAAAGTGCTGCCCCACAATGCCTTGCGGCCGCAGCATTTGCCGTCACTCAACAGTCGGCCGTTCACGGAAACAACCGATTATGACCGAGAAATTATATCATGAAAGTTACGGTGCTTATTAAGAATTTTAAAACGTATGTGGTAAGTTGCCAAAGTGCTTTGTTTTGAACGTTCATCAGTATTATAATCAAAAAGAGAAATATGAACGTTAGTTTTTACTGAAATTATCAAATAAAGTCAACATCTCACAGTCTTTACTGAGCTGTGTGGGGTTTGTTCAACTTTTAAAATATGTTTGAATGGTGATATACACAGTGATAGATGTTAAGGACTAACGTTTATAATAAATACATTTGTATTTATTTTAAGATCTTTTAATAGTTCATACAATCATACGTATTGGGATCATTTGTATTAATGTGGACCGGAGGGAGAGGGTGACGAGCATACGTTTCACTTTCCTTTTTTATTTCAATTCCAACTTTGGTCATGAAGAATATGTTTCTCTGTTGTCCACGTTCATAAAGCATAAAACAACTGCATCAGAGCACGGTGCAGAGTCTCTAGATGAGTTTACAGTAGTCCCTCGTTCTTATTATACATCCATGTTGTAGGGGGTTATCTTGGTTGGTGATTGGCTAATGGTTACACAAGCCAAACAATTGTTATGACATCATATAGTGGCCAAAATCGGATCAGCTCATTTTCAGACAGGTTTTTATATAAATGGATCAGGACAAAAAAGAGAGAGAATCTTTTTTCCTGCAACTTTCAGATTCCCTTTACACAGAGGGGACACATGTTTATGTATGAAAGACATGAAAAAAGTGGATTTTGCTCAATAGGTGACCTTTAAATCATGTCAGATTAATTCTCACCCAGGACCAAAAGGGAAGTGGTGGCAGCGGTTACTCCCTCGTCATCATTGGGGATCAGGACACCGCACTGGTAACTGCGGCTGTCCTGCACGGTCAGCTTGGATAACCGCAGTGTGCTCACTTGTTGGTTGATCTCCATAGAGGCTCGGCCTTCATACTTCGGTGCAATGTTAACCGGATTGTTCAAAAAGTAGGTGGCCACCGTTTGCTAGAGAAATAAACACAAACATTTGAGTATAACATTACATGTTACTTGTTAGACGCTTTTATCCAAAGCGACTTACATACTCAATACTGTGGACAATCCCCACAGGAGCAATTAGGGGTGAAGTGTCTTGCCCAGGGACACAACGACATGCTGACTGCAGTGGGGTTTGAACATCATGAACCCTGATCCGAACACCAACGCACTAGTCCACTGCGCCACACGCCTCCCTAACATGATATTAAAATGTCGTACAAATGCCGAATGTGATGTCACATTTCACCATGACATAATGTTTAATAATAGAAGAATTTGTAAATAAATTATTAAATTGTAAAACTTTTTTTAAGTTAAATTATTTTGAATTCCCCTTTTTTTTACTTTACACAACTTGTCACATGCATCTTTTATAATTTTACAGACAAAACAAACCAGAAAATTATACAATTCTTTAGTTTTAATTTCAGTCATCAGCTTCAGTCTTGCTTTTTCTTTGACTACATTATTTATGTACAATTTGTTGTGACTATAATTCAGATAGCAAAGTAATATAAAGTTGAACAGGAAATGTCCTTGTTTCCATCTGTGTGTGCAGCCAGCCGTTTAGTGAAGCCGAGCCTTATGTGCAAAAGGCAATCTTTACTTTGTATTCAGAGGACAAAGGTCATAACGGCTATGAACAGATAAGGAAGAACCTGTATGCTTTTAATGTTGAACATTTCCTGTATCAATCAATTAACACACAGGACTCCGCCATATAGAAACAGTTTTAAACTACAGTAATTCATTTTCTGCTTTAAGTAAGACATTGTTTGAACACACTACAAATTAATATTTTAAAAGTTGACCCAGTGTGTGTAGTTTTCTGAGACTGTTAATTGACTGTAAGGTACTCAATAACTTGGATAAAAAGCGGATAAGTTACTGATAGGATGGTGTTTATTAAAGAGGTAATTCATCGATTAATACCATTATACTAACATACAGTTGTACGAGAGAGCTCCCAAAGTGGATCCTAAACTTCCCACAATACAGCTCAAATGCAGACACACCCTGTCTTGTAAACACCCACGTCTTTCACACTCCATGCCCCCAGTTTTAATTTCTGATATCATTTATTACTCTCATAGCCAAAGCCGGAAGATAAAGCTGCAATGAAACGTTTTACATTATTTGTTCACAGGCTATAGGTAGGCTTAATCATCATGAGTAATCTGATCTTTATTTGTCCAATGTGGAGTTCCACTTTAGTAAACCTCAACACAAAATGTTTTATTCATAATTCATTGATTTTTCCATGCCTCTCACCATTGGTTCTCCGGTGTTTTCAGGGTAGGCTTCCCATGTGATGACGAGTGTGTTGGTGACAGGTCGGGCGGGGGTGAAGGAGCAGGTCATGGTGACTTCTCCTCCACTCGCTGCCTCATATTCTCTATCTGGAATAGAAACCTGCAAACTCCTGCAGCAGGGAAGTACTGAAACAAAAATAAATACATCATGACAGATATTTCAGTTTTACGCTGCTATGGACAACCTTGCACTAATGTACATTTCCCAAGATATTGAAGTGACTGTTATTTTGTATATATTGATTGTTTTGCTTTTATTTATGTCTTAATGTGTGCATATGTATAAATGTTTCTGTTAATTGTGTATTGGATATACATATTTTATATATATTTTTTTTTTTTATTCGGGATTGTGGGAAACGATCTCTCTGTCTGTACACACTCTCTGACTTTGATATTTTTTCATTTAATCTAGTACTGTACACTTTTGAGGTACTTGAGTATTCCCATTTAATGGTACTTTATAGTTATTCGACACAATATTTTGTATACAAATTATTTTTGATGTACTACATTTAGGCTAGTTTAAAGGTTTTTGATAGTTTAAAAGTTAGTTTGCAAGTTTAAATTAATAAAACAAATGCATTGTGATGTATTATCGGTTAAGGTTCCCAGCAGTAGTCTATATAATGTGATTCACATTAGCTTTGCCTTTAGCAGCTGCACAATAAAATACACATTAATGCTTCACTAATTATAATTCAGCATACAAATGGGGCCATTTTACATAATCAATACTTTTAAACATGTTACTAGTGTATTTTGATACTCGTATTTTTTGTGCTTGAATTATAATAAGAGTTTTAATGCAATAATTGTACTTGTTAAAGTGTATTTACTATTTTTACAATGTGATATTTCAATGTTTACACAAGTGAAAGATATGAGTACTTCAGCTTCCATTCTCTGCTTTTGCTAAATTCGTAGAGAAACATTGGTAGGATAAGATTGACTATAAAAAACAAACGCCATGTTAGTTTCACCAAATATAAGATACAATATGTTTCTTGCAAAGGTGTATGGATTTAACACCTTTTAAGGTGAACACACACTCTGCTTCCTGTTGAGTATGGCAAGAAGTTGGATTAATGATTAACACGGGTGATAATAGCTTAAGGTGTGGCAGAGGTTTATCGAAAAGAGAAAGACTAAAAGCATAAATCCTACCTGTGAGTATCAGAAAAAGCTTTCGCCATCCAAGCTCCTTGTTTGTAATCATTTCTGTAAGAGGATGAAAATATCCAACAAGTAGAAAATCTGAAACTGATGCTTTAAGTCCAAGAGCAAGAGCCCGTCTAACCTTCACGGTGAACTCCAAGGCGTAGAGAAGTGGACCTTTCCAGGTAATATGTTAACACCTGCAGGTCACATGTCTCCAGAAGGCCAATCATTGACCTGCCAACCCCTTAAATAAATCTGACTTCTAGAGATGTATGTGATTCTGATGGGACTACAACTAAAACCTCCAATAATAAAATATGTTTTTGAAAAAAACAGATAGATTGGTAGATAGATAGATAGATAGATAGATAGATAGATAGATAGAAAGATAGATAGTTAGATAGGCAGATAGATAGAGATAGATAGGCAGATAGATAGGTAGATAGATAGATAGATAGATAGATAGATAGATAGATAGATAGATAGATAGATAGATAGATAGATAGATAGATAGAAAGATAGATAGTTAGATAGGCAGATAGATAGAGATAGATAGGCAGATAGATAGGTAGATAGATAGATAGATAGATAGATAGATAGTTAGATAGTTAGATAGGCAGATAGATAGAGATAGATAGGCAGATAGATAGGTAGATAGATAGATAGATAGATATAAAGATAGATAGTTAGATAGGCAGATAGATAGAGATAGATAGGCAGATAGATAGATAGGTAGATAGATAGATAGATAGATAGATAGATAGATAGATAGATAGATAGATAGGCAGATAGATAAATAGATAGATACAAACATTTTGTGAGTTTTTGGAAGTAAAGAAAATGCTTTTAGGAATGCTAACCATTGAATGTCAAACTAAATCAGTAAATAAATAATTTAAAAACAAGACAATTCTAAATATATAATTTAACTGATCAAAGTCAGTGACTGTTTCTCAACATTTCCTTGGAAGATACATTGTGTTGTATGTGGTACTGCTGTACTCAGTTTGACCTGCAGGTAGCAGTGTTGCACTGACCACGATGTTGCAAGTGTTTAACTCAAAGACTGTTAAAATAGGGGTGATACAAAAAGTTAACCTCTAATTCCATTATAGCATAAAGTAAACAATACAACAACTGACAGATGTAATTAAACATCTGTTGACCTTTGATCCATGTTGTTTGAAAGGCAGAGGTGTTAAGTTATCCCGAATCTTAAGTTTAATCAGAATTTGGTTCATTGTCCAGAACTTTTTCAAATAAAGATAATTTAATTTGGTATCTGGTGGTTGTTTGAACACAGTCAGTGAGAGAAAATAAAATGGAAAAGTGAAAGCAAATATAGAAACAAATTGTAGAGGAAATGTATAGTGTACACTATAATAATAATAATAATAAGGTTTTTTGCCAAATAGGTTTTCAATTAGGAGGAGTATGCCTCAGTGTTTGTTGTATGGAATAAAGATATTAAGATGACAAAAAAGAAAATGAACGGTCAAGAAAATTAAATATACATAATAATATTACAGTCAGAATATGAAGAAGATACTAAAACAATACGAAAATATGTTCAATATGTCATGCAGGATGTTAAAAAATATAGATATTTATACGGAAAACATCTTGGTTGGTCAATCAAAAGACTACACAAAATATTTAATCACACTTAATTTACAGTTGTACAGGTTTAGATATATATTGTATCTATTTGTCCTGCTGTTACAGGTACCATTTTCTTTCAATCAATTCAGCGTTTGAAAATTAATTAGCAGACTCTCTCTCGAGCTGAGCACGGCGGATTAACCTTTTGAAGGCCCCGGGGAAAACGTTATCATTCGGGCCCCTATTAACCCCTCTGAGCGCTGTGTGTGTACACTGTGGCCTTCCATTAAGTACACTGGCATAACAAAACTTCATTATAGACCGATTCATAATCTTATACTGGGACCGGCAACAGGTTTTCTGTGAGTAATTTTAATATTTATGTTTTGGACTTTTGCATTAATGAATATATATGTGAGGAGCACAAGCAAAACACAGGTGCGGGCCTTTACAATGCACGTAACACCTGTGACCTGTTTATTAATCTGCACACATGGTGAGAGAATAAAGGAAGTAGATGTAATATAATGGGTTATTTTGGTATATCTGTGCAGATTAATGAGCAAAATGCAGGAAGTGGCGGGGATAAAAGGAAATGTGTCCCCACTTCGCATCCCTTCATATTAGAAAAGTGACATTTTCCTTTTCTGGTCAAGGAGAGGTCATGGACGTGTGTGACTATTGTTTAATTTTTTCTTCTCTTTTCAGGGTGGATGTTTAACAATATTAGTTGGTTGCTGGACATCTATGAGTATGCAGTATATCCATACTGTACCGAAGATTTCAACATTAAACAGAAATGTTTGACCTTGATTGGGCTACAGCAATTATTCTAAACTGCATTGTGCTTTTTGTATTAAGCACTTTTTGGAAATAACCTTTCAAAATCACTGTCCAACAACAATTGCTGTTGCATCTAGATTTCAAGTCCGTTTTTATGCATCTTGAGTAATAGGCTACTGCTATTTGGATATACAATTAGCTTATCACTCATATGTGTTCTGTTTTTCATGTCTGAATGTCTGCGTCACAATCATAGATAAAGATAATGACACACATACAAGGTACAAGGGTTTTTGATGTACGCATTTTGAGATGTTTAGTTAAGTTAGTATATAGACAACTTGATTTCAAGCCCCAAATAAAGCTCCTATCAGTGTTGTTATGCATCATGTGTAACTTTGCATGTATACTTTCTTTTTGGTAAAGATTAGCTTATAACCTTTCCTGGCTTTAATATTATATCTGACTTTAACAGACTACCAGGTTATGTCAATTCAATGTAGGCCTATGTTGTTAAAGTTTTAGTTGGCTTTATTGTTATTGCCAAAGACAAACAGAAGGCTTCATGTGCACTGTATTGCAGATCCGCCCATCCATGACCTTTTCAGTGCAAATTCATAGTGCAAGAAGAGCTGCTTATTTAGGTATGTAAATAAGCAACAGAGAATAACACCCCACACACACTCCACTCAAGTATGCACATGTTCCTATGCATGTGTGAGCAAATTTTGCATGTGAAGATTGGCTGTTTTTGCTCCAAAATATTTAAAAATATTTAAATATGATTTGCAATGAGAACTTGTACCCATAGCTACTGCACATGTTCTTATGGTAGGCCTACTCAGATACTTTACTTTTACTTTTTTTACTTGTCAGATAGCCTACTATTCTCAATGCAATACTTTTACTTTAAATGTTGTATCTTCAGCGTGGGGTACTTTTTGTGTGCGTGTGTGTGTGTGTGTGTGTGTGTGTGTGTGTGTGTGTGTGTGTGTGTGTGTGTGTGTGTGTGTGTGTGTGTGTGTGTGTGTGTGTGTGTGGGTGTGTGTTTGTCTGTGTGTGTGTATGGCGCTGCTGCTGGTAGGCTCAGCGCTGGGATTTCGGGTTAAATATTCAAAATGGCGGACGGAGGAGCAGCGAGTCAAGATGAGAGTTCAGGACCAGGTAATGATTACAGCATTTTACATATTCATACTCATATTCAAACTGTGATACTCACAATCTGTGATAAACGGAGTGCAGATGAATTGCAGATGGATTTAGGAAGGAGGATGATATTCAGATATATTGCAGTTTAACACACAGTAATTTGACAGAGGAGGAAACGAGCTATAGCAGTGCGACGGTAAAATTACATGGAAACATGCCTCCCCCCTTTGTGTGATTAGACGGCCGTACGTCCCTACATATTCATACCTCTGTCGACAAATACAATTTAGCATATTTTATTAGTAATCGCTGAAGAGCCTCTGGTTTCATATATGACATATTTAGACTGTTTTCTCTCTCGCAATCCGATGGAAATGAGGATGCTAGCAGGCTAACGTTAGCTCGGTTGCTAACGGTTGGCTTTGTGTTGATGGGAGGATGCTAGCAGGCTAACGCTAGCTCGGATGCTAACGCTTGGCTTTGTGTTGATGGGGAGGTTTTGATCCGGGTTTGCATATTCATTTCTCCAGTGATTCAGTGGCTGTTTGTTTTCAACTGGAGGGAATAAATTAAAAAAAGGATCGAACATGTGTTTTTTGTTGTTGTTGTTGATTACACGGTGTCAGCTCGGTGTGGTTGAGCTCGAACTGTTTTTAGCTTTTTTTAAAGCAGTTTTTGCCCTCAGTCTTTTGTGTGCTCGGCGCAGCCTGTTGTGTTATTCATGCGGGCCTGCCGGAGCCCCAGAGCGGACTAAAGCATGTCCCATCGACCGACGAGGAACCGGAGCTTATGCTGCACAATAACCAGCATGTCAACAGAACACATACTATCAATATTTACTTAACTGCTTGTAAAATGTGGCTTCGTCTGTTAAAACGCTGGTTCTCATTCCAACGGCTAACTGGCTACCTCCTCTAACTTGGTCCAGTCGTTTAGCAGCTAACTTGGCTTTAGTCTAAAAAATCAACTAAAAATAAAAACAATTCTCCTTGTTAGCTTTTTTAAAACGATGTTATTAGCGTTGCTCTGTAGTGTTTCTCACCTTGCTAGAGTTTAAGTTGCTAGTAGTTTGTTTGAAGTTGGGCCGTACACTTCTTCACGTGAAGTGGGAGTAACGTTATTTTGGAGGTTAACTGTAAATCCATCGCATTAGAATATTATTTAATTTATTTTCCTACAACTTTTCACTGTTTTTCACTGAGCAGTTTTTAAGAAGTGCGTCTTTTATGATAAGATGCCCAATTTAATTTTTCGAAAAATTAAAAACGCACTTGCATATCTGGTTATAAATAAGCATTTGGAAGAGATACACAAATGAAAACCCTTTTCATTTTTTTGGGAGAAACCTAAAAGTGAGGGTGAAGCAGATAATCTACAGAATGAGGGGCTTTCAGTAAATAGTAGGCAGGGGGGAGGTTATGGTTGGTGGATGCATATGCCTTTTATAATACAGACACATGCTTTAAAATATTTAGGATAATAATAATTGTGGAGCTAATGGAAGCAAAAGTTGGAGATTTTTCTGGTCTGCCCCTCTTTGTTTCAGTAGTTTTGACCGAGTGTGTCTGTGCTGAAAACAAAGGTTGTACCTGTGTATCCCCCCCAAGGCACAGGGAGGGGTATGAGGCCCACTTCCGGAAAGCCACAATAATAACAGGCACTCACTATTCACTCCGCCGGTTTCATGGCCGGGCAAGACACAGCTTGATGGCACTTTTTTTCTTTCTTTGTGTAGTTGCCATTTACTTCGTTTTTAAAGAAGCAGTGTGTTGTAGCAACTCTACAGGGGATGGGCTTTTCCTTTTTAAGATAAGACAAACCTTTTATGATAGAGAATGTGGTTGTTACAGCAGCAAATAGACAACACCAGTACATATAAAGTTAAACAATAAGAGGTAAATAATATGCAAATGTAAAACATATAAAAGTAAACATTTAACCATAAGAGGTATATAATATACAAAACTAGGTTGTTACACAGATAGAGTTCTCCGGCAAAGCCATGCCCCTTTAATGATAATTAAAGTATTAGTTTCATGAAAATCAGGCCTGTAGTTAATCCATAATATACCTGACAAACATGCGAAGCGAACACAAAAAACCATTACCTTCTTTGTAGATGTAATATGTAAAAGAGTACAAGATTAAACACAATAATTATGTAGTACTGCAGTATACGTAAACATTTTACTCCACAGTTAAGATGATCTTTACACAAAAGGCAGCTCTAAAGGCGTCCTTACCAAATAGTGATTACACAGTAATAATTGGCTCAAACAATGTTGTTTATTTGTCTCTGTTGTAATCTTTTACGAATATAGTTTATGCAGTTGTGACAGACCTACCTATGCAATTTAAAACATGATTAAATGGAACTGCAGTTTCATATGTTTTAATAATGACAATCAACTTTATGTCTCATGCCCTACGGGTGTTTAAGATTGCATTTCTAGTAATACGAATCACATTCAAATATTTATTCATACCCCGTCTGCATTGTTCTGACACATCACAAGGTACATTTGTAAAGTCTAGTAAGTAAGTAACAACAGTATCACATTACAGGCCATTTTATGATATGCTATATGTTGCTAGACAGTCATGATGGTTCTAAACGATTAGTCGATAAACAAAGAAAACAATAAGCATTTATTTTTATTGTGAATTTAATAGTTTTAGATATTTTTAAGCCATTCTGATTTCAGCAGGATTCCTACTTTTCTTTGTTATTATGTTAGTGTGAAAACAATATTTTTAAAGATGACATGTTTGGCTCTTAGGTTAAGTTGTGATTGCCATTTTAAAACCAAACATTTATCAATTAATTGAAACTATTATCAGCAGATCCAATCGAAAATAATTGGTAGTTGCAGGCGTAGGCATGATACTAAATGTATTTCCCATATTCAAAGCCAAGCCATATTGGCATATCAGGAATGACTTCCACTCTCTGGAAAAAGTGTTATTAAACTGGGCTACTTTAAAGAACAGACGAGAAACTTAGGCTACTTTTCTCATTTAATCAGTTTTTCAGTTCCACCCTCATTCTAGCCTTGTAGTTCCACCATGAATATTCATTGATGTAAACACAGTTGTTATGAATAATGCATAATTCGAGTAATACATTCAGGACATGCAGTCTCAAAGTACAGAGAAGGCCTCCATGAAGGCTCCAGTCAGACAAGTTTTCCACTGTGGAGGAAGAAATCATAACTAATCAGAGCTGTGTGTTGTGCTCTAAACAGATAACGGCTTGTTCCTGGTGATCTGTAGTAAAGTGGCGAAAAGAAAAAACGTCCTTACATGTCTGGTTGTATGAAAGCATTTGGAAGAGTTATACGTATATACAACCTTTTTTATTTAGGAAAAACATATAGGTACAAGTGAGGGTACAGCAGATAATCTACAAATTGGGCTTTCAGGAACAGTAGACAGAGGGGAGCTTATGATTGGTCGATGCATTAGCCAAGCAACAATTGGCATGTTGTTCCTGATGACTCTCATGTGCCTGTCATTATTTAGATCACTGGAAAACATTTGCCAGAATTTCATGAAATGTCTTTATGTTTCAGACACATGCTTTAAATGTTCAGCATAATAAGAATTGTGGAGCTGATGAAGTGAAAGTTGGTGATTCTTCCAGTAGACAGCGTAAGAGTGTATGGTGAAATATTACAAGAAAGTGTTCATACACCAAACAAATATCCAGCAGTTTATGCTAATAATATCATTGTGAATATAATTGTGAATATATGTGCAAATTCAGCCTCTGCCTGGGCTATTTTGAAGTGGTTGAATATCCCTACCACCACCCTCCAGAAACTTCCATTTAATTACGTTAGATTGCATTTTCCACAAAGTCTATAGACAGTTGGTTAATGACCACCCAAGAGATACCGCAGGAGCTTACAGTGGTGTTAGCCGCATTACCCCTCATCAAATTACACTGCACTGTATTCTGTTCACTTGTGGCCTTAGTCCAGTGTTGCTGCTGTACTAGGCACACAACATTTGTTTATTACTATGTTCAATATTCATGTTACTCCAGCTTACACCATGAATATTTAGGCCGTTTGGTTTTCAGGTCCCTTAAATTGAAGGATTATCTGTCGTGATCATACATGCCGATCGTTTCAATTTCTGCTTAGTGTGCCAAGTGGTCTTTATGTATTCTGAGTTTAAGACGAGGAATGTAGGTGCTAGGGCTGAATGTGGATGTGCTAATTAAGTTTTGCTCTGTCTCATGTTGAATCTCCGCGCTCACATGAACTGCCCTGCAGTATTCAGCCAGCCTTCCCATATTACAGCGCTAATGAGGAAGCTATTTAAAATTCTCTTCGCAGGATATTTGTGTAATGCATTGTTCCACAGCAGGGTTTTGCAAACCGTTCAACCAAGTAGTCGTACATGTGTTGAAGTGCACTGCTGATGACTGCCTCTGCATTCACATCGCTTTTGTTTATTCATTTGTTGGCATGATATGATTGTTGGAGAGATGCTTTAAAGTCTAGCTGGGTTTTCACCAAACACTGGGATGTTTGAAGAGAACAGCAGGAGAGAGTTGTGTAATATAGTGTAGTGTCCATTTGTTGTTAAGGGCTGTGAGTTCCAAACATGGGTTCTTTTGAAGGAGAAGGTTCTAAATGTGAGGATTAAACAAGTTTACTTTGAAGTATATCTAAGGAAAGTGAATATAGTTTGGTTTTGGACCTTAGGTCCGACAAAACAAGGCTTCATCTCGGGTTAAGGTTACCTTTTCCTAAGTGATCGAAAAGAAAATGACTAGGAGAATAATGAATATTTTTAAATATTTGTTGTTGCAGCCCTAATCAATAACTATGTTTTTGAGGTTAAAGGAGGATGGACAGAGGGATATAGACACATACATTGGGAACAATACCCACATTTATGTAATTATTTGTAGATCTGTAAAAGTTAGTGGAGAAATGATAGACAGAAAAGTCATCAGTAACTAGTGTACTTTACTTTATATCATTAATTTGGCAAAAATATGAATTGGTTTCCGTTTCTCAATTGTGAAGATCGTCTGTGATGACTCGGTGTATATCTTATGGTTTTCGACTTTTTCTGGTGAAAAACTAGCATTGTTCCCCTGTCTGTATACACGCTGGGGCATGTGTCGCTATTTTCAGAAATGTTATAGACTCAACGACAGGCAGATTAGTTGCAGCCCTATTTAGTAATGTTAGATAACATTTGCAACCTGATGAAGCATGTTGATGAAGGAGTACTTCATACCAAAATAAGGCACTACTGCTTTAGTGGTAACTCGTCATAAAAGCATGCTGATGTTTACAAAAAGGCTGAAAACATTGCTGAGTGCCTGAAGCCTCGTCCCTCATGCTGTCACCCTGCTGATAAAGGGTCTGTTGGTTTTTCAACGCTACCGTGCCCTCTTGCCATTGTTCGATCAGGTCAGCATTTAAATGCCTTTCAGCAGGCAGCGGGTTAAGTGAAGAGGTTGATCAGAGCTTTTTGCAGGAGCAGTTGATGTGGATTTAGTTGGTAAGCCCCCTCCCCTGCAAACCCTAATACATCCATGCATTCCTGTCCAGTCATTCTGATTCACTGGACACCTGTGCAGCTCCATCACAGGTCTACATCCCCGCCGTTAAAACTCCTAAAGCATCCTGGAAATGAATTCAAAAGCGCTCCAAAGTGAAATACTAATGGCATGCAAAAACTAATCTAAATATGCTAATCCCCAAACACTTCATAAACATGGACAGCAACAGCCCGCCACCCACTCTCTGTAGTCGCTCGCTCAGGAATGCTTTAGCCACAGGGGGTCTAGCAGTAATGACAGGCTTGCGGTGGATTAATGTGGAGTTATTTATTTCCGATTGAGCGAGTCCTCCTCCCACTCCTTCCCCAGACCCCCCTTTTTTTGCAGTTAGGCCCATGACTCCTGGAGATACTCCGAACGAGTCTTAGACGTTCTTTTAATGCGGTCCGCCTTGCTAACATGTCCTGACCACCACCGACAGGCCTCACATTGGATTCTGGGATATCTCCGGCCCTTTTACCTGCTCTTAGCTAATTACTTTTTGAGTCGTGCACCCGCTTTATAATTGGTCTTGTGCTGCTGCCTCCCTGCGCTGCGCCAAGTGCTAGTTCGAGCACTTTTTCATTCCCCTCCCCGTGTCGTCCTTATTCCCCTGTTTTTTATCGTCCTCCAAAAGCCATCCAATTAATATGCTAATGAGATGATAAATATTTATAGGGGTTTAAATTATGCAGAAAGCTTTCAGAGCTCGGTGTGAAATGCGTCGCTCGCAGGACTTCAAAGCCTTGCATTGCTAACGAGGCAGAGGCAGATTTGCATACGGCTTTAATCAGCTGAATACTGATTATGCTTCATTATAGAGCCGGGTGGGGGGGGCAGAGTTAGAGGAGGCCGCCAGCTGCACTTGTCGTTTGTTTCATTCCAGCAAGAGGGAGAGGTTGAACTTTTTCATAAGTACAGACAATCTTGGCAAGCGAGAGAGAGGGAGAGAGAGGGAGGGAAAAAGGGAGAGCGGGTGCAAAGTAGGCACTGGTTTGAAAACAACGGAGAGGGGCAGAGCTATAAGAAAATAAAGAGAGTGCTAAGAGAGAAGCTGTTTGCCTAAACCCTGTTGGCTTTCCCAGTGGCGTATCCCAGTGTTGTTCAGTGAACCGTGCGGCGGACAGTGCCACTGTGTCTGTAGTCGCTCCGCTTGTATTGAACCCGCTGCTGACCAGTGGAGAGTGAAGAGAGGGAGGAGGAACTCGGAGCCGGACGCCCTGTTGGTGGTGTGTTTGCCCGGCAGAAGCACATTTCCCACGATAGGCTCCGCAACCATGCTGGAAAACACAGGTGGAGCAAGAGCGGGTGAGTGGCTTGGTGCGGTTGTGATGGAGCTCAGCTGGGATTTGTTGTTGGGCGTCCTTATGTGAAACGGGAAAGGTTGATCTCGCACCACCTTTGCGTTACATTTGACTTGTAAGAGTTTATTGTCAGTCATTGTGTTGGTCTAGAGTAGTTACATGTGACAGAAATGTTACTGCAGAGTAGGAATGTCATGCATTTATAGGATGTATATAATCAGGTGACGATAGCACAGGGCTCCTGAAATCATCCAGACATGGTTGTTATGTTTTCACCGGCAGTGGGTCTGTCTCACTGTCTGTCTCTGTCTGGCTCTTCCAGATGCTAAAGTGAATAATCAGTCAGAAACTACTAAATGTGCAATGGAAAGTGGTGACGGGAACACCGGTGAGTGACCTCCAGCTTCTTCCTTTTCTTTTTTTGTTATTAACTGGATTGAAATGCAGGATATTTACCTCCTCATTCAACAGGTTTCACACAGCCTAAATTAACATTTTTGCAGCACAAATCTGAAAAAAGCTGTATTCACTCATTGAAAAGAAAAGACATGGCAGCTTTCCAAAAGCCTTGTTAGCGGTCTTCTTTGTCAAATGAAGTGTTTACCTCACAGAGCAGTTCCCCTCAATTGAATATCACACTAATTAGCTCCGTCGCAGTGCTTCAGTGACTGTGATCGGAGTGAACACCACTCAGTCATTTCTCATTTGTATATTCAATTTGTGTCATGTTTAATAATGTAAATATGAATGTGCAAACTCATACTGTTGATATGTATTTCTGTGTTACTAATTTGGATCACATTTGTTGTCATTTTCAAATATTCTTCTGCATTTTCACTTTGGGTTTTTACTATTATGTTCCTCTTTTTTGTGTTAAACCAACAACAGCGTATATAATGTCACCAGTTGGACCACAATCTTCTCTGTTCCTCCGACCGCTCGTTTCATTAACTGCATTTCTTCTCCTCAGGAATCCAAATCAATGGGTTCGACTTTCAGAGGCAGGCGATGCCTCTCACTAACGCACACGCACAAGCCCTCCTCCAACAGGTAACACGTCATCACTGTCTTTAAGAAACTTTTTTAGTTTTAATGTGAAATAATCAGATGTAGTGTTTTAGTGGCGACTGTGGCTGCGAGGGGCTGCGGTCGTCTTTCAACCAGAAGGTTGTGGGTTCGATCCCAGCCCGTGCAGCCAACATGTCGATGTATCCCTGAGCAAGATACTTAACCCTGAGTTGCTCCCGATGGCCAACGGTGTGTGAATGTGTATGCATGTTAGTGCATGTCCTAAGTACATACACTGCTCTGTATGAATGGGTGTGAATGGGTGAACGACATGTAGCATGTAAAGCGCTTTGAGGGGTCTTAAAGACTGGATAAAGCGCTATATAAGTGCAGTCCATTTAGTGTAGTTGCTCATCTTAATTGTAGTTTCACAATGAAATAAGGTGTGATGTTTTACCAGAGGTTTGCTCCTCTGCACGAGCCAAATGAGTTCATTTAAATGAGCCAGGCTCTGCTTGTGTCGCCTGGCAACACGGCAGATTAATCAACCCTGTATGCTAATTAGCTGCTCTGCGGTTGCTCGGAAACAGATGGCAGAGAATATGCAAATCTATGCAGAATTGACATGCACTGCATAACGGTTATTTTAATTAGCATCTCAACTCTCCCCCCCCCTTTCCCATTCACTTTTCCTGTCTCTGAAGGCTGCAGCACATTTAAATAGCAACTTTCACAATAACTATTTTATTCAAATTCCTATGCCTGCTCAAAGACTGAAGACTCACTCTCAGGTAGCACAGACGTGACATGTTTCATTGTTTTTCAATTGTTGTGCTTTTATTTGATTCAAACTGTTCTTTTTGGTCTGAATTAAACATGCTTTCAAGTGTTTTATATCTTGTTGGTTTTTAATCATAACAACAATGATGTTAAATTAAGAGACTACCTCATGCTGTGAACACCTGTAGGAAGATTTCCTCTAAGCCTTCCTCTTTGCTTCACCTCCACTAGTCTAAGTCGGAAGACCCGAGTGCTCTTCCGACCTCCGTCCAGCAGAGCGGTTTGCCTCAAACCCAGCTAATGTTGGCCGGGGCACAGATTGCAGGAGTAAGTGGCCTTTTGCCTCATTGCTTTGAGTTCAAACATAGTCATACAATTAAACATGATCAACCCTGGCTGAGAGGCTGGCTGCAAATATGATTGCTTGCCCTGATTCTGCGCCTGCTTGTTCATCCCATGATTGTGAGGCTATGTCCAAACTCTTCCATTACAGAAAATGGACGGATGGGCTTGGACATAGTCTTGATGTGTTTGTACACTCATGGTCAGGTTAACCACACGACACATTTCATATCCATCCATGTTCTCCCTGAGGACCTACTGTAGTGAAGCAGCTGCTATGCGGGAGTGACTGTGCATGTGGATTTGAGTTTGAACATGACATCAACATTGCACTTTTGCCTCCGCTCAGCTGCATGAGTCCAATCTCCATTTGCCTGTCAGGGCTCATGTTAGTGTTGCTACAATACTGACAGTTTCATGACTTTGATACCTTTTTGAGAGCAGTTCAATTCAATTAGAGAACATTTAAGAAACTCTCAAAACTTAAATGTGATTTATTTAGCATGATTTTTCCACTTCAGTAGCATCTGTAAAGGTGTCTGTGTTCATACATATTGGAATAACAAAGTAAAGGAGAAATCAGACTATGCAGAGCTGCGGTTCATGACATTAAAGTAGATTTGGCAACAGCATCAAAGGGTTGGAAAACTGAAGCAAAGCATGGATAAATTATGAGAACATTTGATTGAATCTAATGAAGGCAGTCCTTTCCAACATGTCAAGTGGCATGACGTGTCATACATCTTAAGCAGCACACGTCTTTGTAGTGTCCGGCTGTGTAGAGCTGCACAATATGAGTAAAATATGCAATGAAGTCGTTGAATATAGATATAAGAATTACACCCAAAAGAAATAAACCGTTATGAAAATGTACTTCAGCTTTTTTGCTGCTTCTACTGTACTGCTAAAATATCCTTCATTCAAAAATTATTTAAAATATTCTTTTATTAACAAAAGTCACTAATAAAAAAGAATGGCAGTTACGTTTCTATAAAAAAAACCTAAGTGCAATATCACAGTATCTCACAATGTGTTTATTGTGCAAGTTAATAAAATATATATATATTGTGCCGTCCTACTGGTGTGCTGCCATAGCAATCCTTTCATTAAAATTCCCTTTTTATGGGTATCACAACCAAAACTCAAGTATTGTGACAACACTAACTCAAAAGATCTCTATAACAGAAGATAAAACTGATTTGCCTAAACGCTACTTTCTCTACTTCCTCTATCTATCTGTTACCCCTCTCTCTGCCCTCCATGGTCCCTCTCTCTCTCCCCCTACCCTCCATGGTCCCTCTCTCTCTCCCTGTCCCTCAGTTGACCCTGACCCCGGCGCAGCAGCAGATGTTGATCCAGCAGGCTCAGGCTCAGCTCCTGGCCGCCGCCATGCAGCAGTCGGCCAACCAGCAGAACTGCACCACCGGGGCCAGCATCTCGGCGCAGGCAGCCACGCCCATTACCCAGCTGTCCCAGCCCATCCAGATCGCCTCTGTAAGTCACTATCACACATGTTTCTGCAAATATATCACATGGTTCTTACGGTCATTAAAAACCTGGAAAAGTCATGGAAATACAAAATGCTAATTCCAGGCCCTGGAAAAGTTATGGAAAACAATGTTTCACAAAGTTTTGGAAAAGTCATGGAAATTTAACTAAAGTTGCATCAAATATAATTTATATTTGATCTAATCGCCAAAATAGTAATACTATAATGATAATACATACTGTATAGTAATAAAACGTAAAATGGCATTTAACTGTCGAGGTATTTTGCTGGTGAGAGATTTTAGTTGCTTTAGCCTGTAGGAGCTAGTAAGCCTACTATTTGATTTGTTTTAGATAGGCACTACATGTTTCAGACCTTATTTTCCTGTTCCATGTTAAAATAAACCATTTTCAGTGGTACCGCTGAGAAAGAGTCATTTTTTAGGTCATGGAAAATTAGGTAAAGGTCATGGAGAAGTCATTGAAAATCATTGGTGGAAAAAGTGTATGAACCCTGATATCAACTTAACTTCCTGTTTGAGAACTTGCCCCGAAATGTTTTGAATGAAGCTGACTTATTTATAGATGTACATTCTCTGGAAATTGCTTATACTGAACTTTGGGCTGTTGTTGCTCAGGGGGTTAATGATCATCTACCAATTAGACGGTTAGTGGTTTGACCCCAAGCCCCTTGACCAAAGGTCATTAGGCACGATATTTAACCCCCAAATTGCTCCAGTACTTGATTGGTCATTTATTTGGTTTATATAGGATTGAAAGAGATTGATTAAGTATGTACGTTTCTTTGGATTCAGCTAAATAACATTTCAAAGATTCAAAGGTTTTATTGTCATATGCACAAAGTAGAAATGGCGAAGAAGATCTTACGACCGGAGCTCAATGCAACATATATAATAAAATACAAAATAAAAAGTAGTGCAAAAAGTCTATATACATGTAAATAGAATATGATATGTACAAGACCAGAATATGAAATAAATGTAATGTAAATTAAGACAAAATTAAATACGGTTTATTGCGTGGATAAATATTTATATAAATAAGTATAATAAAGTATTAATTTGTATTCAACATGGGTTGGTATATCTAAATGATTGGCTTAAATAATATACCCTGCTCTTTAGTATGAAATAATACGGAGCCCCCTAGGGGACATGGAGGGAGAAAAAAAAATGTTTTGCGACATCTCGCAAAACCCCTTTGCGAGATCTCGCAATACTTTTCATTTAGCTCAATGTACTTCCTGGTCAGTTCGGCTGCTACGGCAACACAGAAACCACAACAATGGAGCGGTTCATCGATTTTACTTTGAGCTTGGCATTAAATATAAAGATATATCAGTGCATGACATTAAGGACTTTGGGAGATGGCCCTGTGGGCCATCTAAGCTAATTTACAGATGGCCCTGAGCCCAATAGAGATTGCCCTGAAAAATGCGCACGGACGAAATTACGCACGAAGGGTTTGGGGGGGCCTCCCCCTAGAACATTTAGATTTGTGCAGGTCTTAGATGCTGTCTGGTGCATTCTCTAGACTGAATTATAAGATGAACCACCACAATATTATATTGTACAATTTCAATTGTATTCTTCATTTCCCTTGTTTGTGTGTTCTTGTTTGTGTTTGCTCGCTTGCATGCCCTGCATAGCTATAAGAAATACTTAAGTTGTTGGTTAAGACACATTCCATCTGATGAAGGCAAATGCCTTCCCAGATGTAAAAAAGTAGAAAACATTACATTCAGTTATTACTGCCAAAACAAACATTATTTACACTAGTATGGCCCCTGTTAAAAATGTTTGTAATGTTATCTACTGTAAGTTGGTCGAACGAATGCCTCCTCATCCGGAAGCTGACCGAGCAGACCCGAGCAGCAGTCGAGAGGAGCCGAGCGCATCCGCGAAGCACACAAAATGGCGACGTCAGAGTTCCCGTTAGCCGGCAAATCTAAAATGTCCGGTCAAAAATAATTTCCCTTTAGCGCAATACCGCTTCAGTTGCGCCACTTATGCGACAGACAAAAGAGTATGTGACAGACAAGAATAGTCAATTCTAATGTCTAACACTTAATGTGGAGAAAGATATGCCCTGTGTGGGTTGATTGTGCGTTGATCTGTTGGTAATGCCTCAACGTCCCTCTGAGCTGAGTTATTGACAGATTCGAATTTCGCGGATCAATAACTCATGAACATAACGTTGTAAAAATACAAACATGACTTTACAATCATAGCAAGGTAGAGAACGAGCTACAGAGTCATTTTTATCAGAACAGTTCGATACGAGCCGTCATCCGAGCTAAACATCAAGAATTGATCACAATCTGCAGCTTGAGGAGGGAGAGGAGTGCTTAGGGACTGTCTACAAACCGCAAAGGGGTTTTGCGAGATCTCGCAAAGGGGTTTTGCGAGATGTCGCAAAACATCTTTTTTTTTTTTGTTCAAATAATTTTTTTTTCTTCTCCATGTCCCCTAGGGGACTCCGTAAAATAGCAATATTGTAATTGATGGCCATAGTCAAACTTAAGATATGTTGGAACATCTGCAAAGCATAAACTGTGTTATAAATAGCTTATTTATGTGTGAGTTTACTGATCATTAGTTTGTGTTTTCTGCCTGCAGCTGCAGCCGCAGAATCTCAGCATGCCGCAGTTTGTCCTGCTGCAGCCCGGCCACCCGATCGCCACGCAGCTGCAGCCCACGCAGTTCATCATCTCACAGCCACCGCATACCCAACAGGGTGAGGAAACACACTACATGCAGAATTAAGAAAGGAGGCAAAACCAATATTTGATTGTTACGGAAGAATATTTCAATGTATGCATCTTAACTCTCACGTATTTTACACTGTAGGCCTAATGCAAGCCCAGAGTCTTCTAAATCAACTACCTCAAAGCCAAGCTAACCTCCTGACGACTCAACCAAGCATCACCCTCACAACTCAGGTTCGTAATGACGCAAGAAAACTCTGAAATATGTGGTTCTGCTTTATTCCAGCTGTTTGAATAAAATCTAACTACGAAGCAAACTTGTATAGATTAGCTAGGTGTAATTTTATAATACTTTCTCCCCTTTGCTGACTTTGCCTTAATAACAAATACATTTTTATATTTTGCTTATTTCTTCAGCCTGCCACTCCAACCCGCACAACTGCAGCCACACCGATCCTGTCCCTGCCCCACAGTCAGACCACCCCCAAACGGATGGACACCCCGACTCTGGAGGAGCCCAGCGATCTGGAGGAACTGGAACAGTTTGCCAAGACCTTCAAACAGAGGCGCATCAAACTGGGCTTCACGCAGGTGAGTGTCATGTTCTGTGTATTTCTCACAGGTTCAGTGATTGTATGATGTTCAGTTGACCCTCCTCCCTCGGTTAATCGGTTGGAGGAGAAAGTGAAGGAAGAAATAAAAACGTTTTAAAAAAGCAACAGGAACAACAGTGTTCTCTCATAGCACAGTCATTTAATATATTGTGTTATTCAAGTTGAGTTAAGGCTTAGTTATAACTTCTATTTATAGATTTAATTATCTGATATAAAACAAAATGTTCCCCCTTGTCCATTTGGTTTAAGTTCACCGTGATATTTCCTGCACATGGGGGACAACATTACTTTTAAGCTACATGCTAGGCTAGTTAATGTTATTAGTGTTCCACCTTGGAGCTAATGAAGGAGTCTGTTGCCCATTTCACACCAACGTGGTCCGTTCTAGCTCCGTGCTAGAGCTTTTCCGGTTCGGAACCGGTTCTTCTTTTCAGCCCCCGTTTTGTTCACACCGCCCAGAGCCCGACTGGTGCTGCTGCTGCGTCATGACGTCACCGTTTACGTCGCTGATTTTCTCCCCAACGGCGTTACGACGCTCACTACTACAACAACAATGGTGTTAGCATAGCAACCGAAGCTAATCTGACTTTCTTGACTACTCGTTTTCTACAGGCACATTTTACCGGCACATTTTTCATTATGATTATACTTGTGATGGTCGGACATGACAACCTGTGCAGCCCATGTATTGATTCAATCCGATAGCTGTTATAATACAAAACAAAACTTCTGCCTCTCTCCACAATGATCAATAACAGCGAACGGATGGTCAAAGTAAGGCACAAATAAACAGAATCACACGAAGCCTGGTTAGTGTTGCCTGAATTTATAAAGTGTGTTTGTTTTTTTATAAGTGTGTGGTTGCGTTCTAGTCACTTTGCTCAGCGTTACTTAGGGCTGCACGATATTGAAAAAAACTGACATTGCGTTTTTTTGTTCCCCTGCGATATATATTGCGGGTTTTAAAAAAAAACCTGTTAAGCCCCAAGGTCCCGGCGGGTACTTTACTTGTTTTTTAACGACACTGTCTCAGGGGATCTTAATATTTAAGAACCTATTAATGTGTTATACCAGATTAATGGAAATAATCTCAGCTAACTGACGATACAAACCATTTTTACCAAAACAAAACACAAGTCTCATAAGAAGCATCTAAATGACCCCTGAGCGAAAAATGCTAACGGACTTTGGCACAGAACTCAAGATAAAAATACCCTTATTACTTATCGTAGCTGCACATACAAGATATCCGATTAAAGCTGAGGTTCCACAGATTATTTAGGTATATAGTATCATCACTGAGTCATCCGAACTCGCGACAGGGGAAGCAAACACAGACATCACAACACGTACCTTTTACGGAGCTTCTAGGGAGATTGTCTCACCGTAGCTGTCAATCTGATCAAAAGACGTGTTCAATGGCATTAAAACGAGAAAAAACGCGGCTGAATCGGTTGATCCATAGTTTAATAATATATCTGTGGCTTTGAAGCAATTGTTTATAATCCATAATTCCATTTTTATGTACAAATCGGAGCACAAAAGTTAGCTACTAATGGTAGCCACCAGAGTAGAGTGGCTGCTGCTTCCGGTCTTGGCTATGCAGCAGTCTAACCCACACACATTGCCAAGCTCAGGGGCTTTCTATCCAATGCAGAACTGGAGATGGCTATCCGTGCCTTTATTTCATCCCGGCTTGATTATTGTAATGCTCTGTTCTCCTGCCTCAACAAAACATCAATAAACCGGTTACAACAGGTCCAAAATGCTGCAGCCAGATTACTGACTCGGTCCAAAAAAACATGCCACATCACTCCGATTCTTTCTGCCCTGCACTGGCTCCCTGTCCATCTCAGAACCCAATTCAAAGTACTGGTCTTCACATATAGAGCTGTCCATGGCCAAGCCCCAGCCTACATCAATGACCTTATCCACCCGCACATCACAACCCGGGCCCTGAGGTCCTCTGAGCAAGGCCTCCTAAGGGTGCCCCGAACCAGGCTAAAGACTAAGGGTGACCGTGCCTTTGAGGTGGTGGCCCCAAGGCTTTGGAACAAACTCCCCCAGATAATAAAAACCTCGGCCTCAATAGAGATTTTTAAGGGGCAGTTAAAGACACACCTGTTCCGACAGGCCTTTGGGTCGTCGGAGGAGGTGAGTTAGTGGCTGTCTTTTTTATTGGTGTTTTGTCGTATGGTTTATCCTATGTATTACCTGCTGCTGTTTTATGCCTTTTTATTCTACATTTTATAGTTGTACTTTGAATTGTGTCCTGTGTACTGTACTGTAAAGCTCTTTGTACATCCGTGTTGAGAAGGGTGCTATATAAATAAAGTTTTACTTACTTACTTACATTACCAAATAAGGAGTGAGAGTGACGCGTAGCCAAAACCGGAAGCTGCATACACTCTGGTGGCTACCATTAGCAGCTAACTTTTGTGCTCCGATTTGTACATAAAAATGGAATTATGGATTATAAACAATTGCTTCAAAGCCACAGATATATTATTAAACTATGGATCAACCGATTCAGCCGCGTTTTTTCTCGTTTTAATGCCATTGAACACGTCTTTTGATCAGATTGACAGCTACGGTGAGACAATCTCCCGTAAAAGCTCCGTAAAAGGTACGTGTTGTGATGTCTGTGTTTGCTTCCCCTGTCGCGAGATCGGATCGCTTAGATACTATACTTAAATAATCTGTGGAGTCTCAGCTTTAATCGGATATATTGTATGTGCAGTTTCGATAAGTAATAAGGGTATCTTGATTTTGAATTCTGTGCTAAAGTACGTTAGCATTTTTTTTTTTTTTTAAATGAATAAAACCGCACGTCCCTGCGGTGTGAATATCGCGCATGCGCATATCGCGGTTATTGCCATGACACGGTATATCGTTCAGCCCTAGCGCTACTGCTTGTTACAACTTTTATGTACAATCTCGCCCCCCTCCGACGTAAGCGTGACGTATGCGGTTCTTGCTTCTAGACCGAAAACAGTTTGGTGCTTAAAACAAACCGGATTCCAGAGCTTAGAGGCGGCTCCGCTGCGGTGTGAACAGGACCGGTGCTTTTCAGGCTCTAGCTCCGAACCGGCCGGAACCGCGTTGGTGTGAAAGCCCCATGTGTTGATGTTCCACAAATTCAGTTCTCTGAGATTTCCCTCTTGGATTAATCCATATCCAACATCTCTGATCTTGTGTTGTTGACTTTTGGAAACACCCACCCCCCCCCTTGATTCTGCATGTCTCCAGGTTTAGAGAGGGGTTTAGCTTGCAGTGAATTTCATGCGTTACGTTTTAGAGATAGTCTCATCTTGCTAGTGCATATACCAATAATAAACTCTCTATTATAATCAGTGTTTCTGCCAGACCAGGGCTGAGAGGGCGTCCAACCCGAGAGCGGGGGGGGTTGAATTGAGACGTCCCTTTTATAGATACTATCTCTTTACGTTAGTGAGCCGGATCATTTGGCTCGGCTCTTCATGTTACCACAGTTTACCACGGAGCCTCAGTTTTGCCGCTGCGATGCTCCGGCGCTCGCAGTTCACGCGCGTGCTCCACTAGCACCCCGCTCATCGCGTCCAATTCGCGCACGTTCCGTGTTGTCCTGCCAATGTCGGGGAAACGATCAGCAATACTCCGAAAAGAATCCCACCACTCCTTTGCCCCTCCAACAGAGGGATTTCCTTGTCCTTTTTCCTTTTCGTCATTTCAAGCGATAAAAACTCTTGATCTTCTCTCGAATTATGATTTTTTTATTATTATTTTTTAAGTGACGGCAAGACGCCCATCTGGCAGAAACACTGATTATAATAATATTATAATTTGTCTGTGGGTAAAAAGTATTGGGATTCTGGCACTCTCTTGTTTCATGTTTTCCTCTTTCTCTCTCCTCTCCGCCAGGGGGATGTTGGCCTGGCCATGGGGAAGCTGTACGGAAACGACTTCAGCCAAACTACCATTTCTCGCTTTGAGGCCTTGAACCTGAGCTTTAAGAACATGTGCAAACTCAAGCCATTGTTGGAGAAGTGGCTCAACGATGCAGGTTTGTCCCTGAACCCTCCTGAATCCCTCACACAGAAGCACTTGTCGTAGCAGCTTTAAAATCAGCTGTGGTCTAGAGAGAATAATCAGTTAGCTAACAAACGTACAGCAACATAATATTCGTATTAAAAGCAATAAGGAACTTTATTATACAGGCTCTCTTTATAAGAGGACATCACAAATAGGGTTGGGAACCGAAACTCGGTTCCATGTGAGAACCGATAAGAAAATGCCGGGTACCGGGTACCCATACAAAATACACAATTTCGGTTCTGCTTAACGGTTCCTAAACGCGGTAGACCCTGTATTCCACCGGGTCCGTCTGCGCTGCGGTGACCCGGTGGAATACAGGGTAAGGGCCGACTGGCCATCTGTGTGTTCTGGAGAATCACAGAACGGCCGGTCGTCAGCGAGCCGTTGACAGCCGGCTCGGTTCGCTGACGGCCGGCACCGCCCTTAATTTTTTTAGACGGCATCATGTAAGTTGCGCTGACAGGCGACAGAGGTCCACAGTTGCCCCGCAGCGAAGCTCCCCCCGCCCTCCAGTAGACAGTTCACGAGCTCAGTCACTTCATAACACCAGAGATGGGTCGCGGTAAACGCTCTAACGTGAGGCTCCACTACACTAAAAAAGAAAAAGACAAGGCACAGTGTAATGCCTGTTAATAGCTTGCCACAGGCATAGCTCAGTTAAAATAAAGCACAGCTATTATGCAATACATTTGTATTGCATGTATATTTTTTTATTTGTAAAAATGTCAGTTAAAGCTTAAAAGAATAAAGATATTTTTGTTATCTAAACATTTGACCTCTTTCTTTTACAATTTTGGAATCGAAACGGGGAATCGATAAGAACCGGAATCGGAATTGGAATAGATCAATTTGAAAAGATACCCATCCCTAATCACAAAGCAGATTTACATTACAACAACATTCTGGGAGGCCAGCTGATACCCCCTCTGGCACTTTATGCAAAACCATCACACCCTACAAGACAGTGGGATATACAGATACCCCTCAGACACAGTATGCAAAACCTCACCCCCTAAACACGTCTGTTGACCACACATACATTTAAGGTTCACTCCCAGAGAGATGACCTAATCAGAGAAACTAAGGTTAGTTACATTTGATTGCACAATATCCTTAACACACTTTAGCTCTGCATACTCTTTGTCTCCCTGACATGTTGGAGTGCGTTGTGTATCTCTCCAGGGCCTTGTCTTTACTTCTCTTCCTGTCTTTTGTGTCGGTGCTGTTTGTGCAGAGAACCTGACATCGGACCAGTCCCTGTCCAGCCCCAACGCGCTGGGCTCCCCGGGGATGGGCATCGAGGGGATCAACCGCAGACGGAAGAAGAGGACTAGCATCGAGACCAACATCCGAGTGGCCTTAGAAAATAGCTTTCTGGAGGTTAGAAACTCACCCTAAAGCATATTTAATTGAAGTATGTTTTTAGTGGTGCCTACATTTGTATTTCGCTTCAAAACCTTACCTCTAACTGATTGTTTACGACACACACACACACACACACACACACACACACACACACACACACACACACACACACACAGAGAACTTTTTTTTAATCTGACCTATATTTGCCCATTTTGTGGGAACTCGTTTTTCTGAATGTCATATTGATCAGGTTTTAGAGACTCCTCAGTGCTCACATGGCTTCTCTGGCTTTTTGCCCTCTTCCAGCAGAACCAAAAACCTACCTCTGAAGAGATCACCATGATCGCTGACCAGCTCAACATGGAGAAGGAGGTGATCCGGGTCTGGTTCTGCAACCGCCGGCAGAAGGAGAAGAGGATCAACCCCCCCAGCAGCGGCATGGGAGGAGGCGCCATTAAAACCCTCTTTACCCCCAGTAGCCCCATGGTAATGACGAACACCAGAGTCTATTAACTATTCCAGGATCCATTTCAGGATCATTTACACATATTTGTTCACTGGATTAAACTACAATTCAAAACGATTCATCACATCTGTTTTAGCTGTTGTTTGTTGACACTCTTAACTAATGTACTCCTCTCTGTTATTCTGTTTCTCAGGTGGCCAGCACAGCAAGCCTTGTGAACAGTCCCTCTATTAACACATCCACCACTCTGACTGTAAGCCCAATGATGCCTCTCACCAGCACCAGCGTCGCCAATTTGTCTTTCACAGGTGTGTACGGGGTCACCATGTGTGTTTGCCTTTTTGAGAATGGGCACCTAACAAACGATCAGTAATGTTGCTAGGTAAACATCCTGTGTCTCAAATGCATTGAAATCCAAAAGGACTCAGTAGAGTCAATATAAACGCCTCTACACGACTTTACATTTATTCACTTTATGCACACGTATCTCACCTAAGAAGAGATCCAGAAGCAAAAGAATAAGAAAATATGAAATACATTTTACGCCATTTAGTTGGTACAGTATCTTATATACATTTGTGTGATAGACTCACATTTAAAATATTAGGTTCGAGGTTTCATTTTGCGAAAAGATATGTTAATATATATGTATTACAGAATGATGCTATAAATACCAATTATAAGTTACTCCTAAAAACACATTGGTTTCTTTATCATGTTAGATTTTTGTGAAAAAGGTTTTTACACCATTTTTACTTTACGAATATTTTTAGATATTATGAATATAACCATATTTATAATCATATGACACCAAACACCAGTTAAACTCTCAAAGAGTACACGTTTTAATAGGGACCCCCTCAGATGACTACCAGTTATTCCCGGGGAATCACCTTACACAGGAAAACCTACCACATCACTGCACTATAATATCATTGAATGCTAACTGTTGTTTTCTTCCTCAAAGGCACGAACACGGCATCAGTCATCTCCACTGCACCCATATTTACTACAGCCTGCTCTCCATCTTTGAGCCCGTCGCCAACGACTATTCAGTCTATGAAAGCAGAGAGCAAGGGCCACACCATCATCCAGGCCCCCACATCCATCGCCTCTCTGGGGGGGGGTCAGCTGATGGTGTCGGCCTCCAGTCTCTCGGCCGCGCTGCAGCAGGCTCAGTTACCCAGCAGCTTCGCCGCCATGGCTGCTGCCGCCGCGGGGCTCAACCCGGGACTCATGGCCTCCTCTCAGTTCGCTCCTGGGTTAGTACAGGTTCTGTTCAAATATTAATGTTAGAACAATATCACTCGTCGCCAGCTTGAGCTTCAATAATCAGGATATATGTATTTATTATCCTTGCAAGAATGGAAGTAGTCATCACATACAGAGCATTTGGGACAACTAGTTCCTGAACAGTGTCCCGTGCTGATCTGCAAGAGAGGGAGTTACACAGTCACAAGATGCAGGAATACCGGTTCAAAGCAGTATAGGCAAGGCAAGGCAAGGCAAGGCAAGGCAAGTTTATTTTTATAGCACTTTTCAACACAAGGCAATTCAAAGTGCTTTACAAAAAATGAAAGACATTAAGACAAAGGCATTTAAAATCAGTCATTAAAAAGAAAAGCTAATAAAATAAACATTAAAAGAAAAAAATACATGGATAAAAGTATACAATGTTTAGTTCAGATTAGCTGAGGCCCATGTCAGAAATGATCATGCTTGTCATATGTCTATCTCCATAGAGGCTGAATCATCATGTTAATCACATAGCTATCATATGCTTAAAACAGTCCTGATGCTCTTCTAGGTAATCAGACATCCCGTTACATACACAGATACGTAGGGCCTTTGTTATCATGTGCTACTCTGATATTAGAAGAGTACATTCAGTATTTTCTCAACACTTAATGCAATGATTATCACTCTGTGGAGCTTCAGGGGTCTTCATGTCATTTATCCTTTTCCAGCGGGGCCCTGCTCAGTCTGACTTCTGGAGGCCTTGGCGGTGCGCTGAATCCGGCCCTCATGAGCAACAGCACCTTGGCTACCATCCAAGGTGTGTATCAATGTATGTATATTTAATTATTCCTTTGCACATATTTACATACTTGTCATACTATACACATACAGCACAGTCCCAGGTCATGGTAAGTATGGAGCTACAACTCCAGAAGGAAAACATTACTAGGGTTGGGTCGTTTTGTCTTTATAGAGACAGAAGAATACTCTTTAGGACACGCATATTATTTTAACTGCTAAATGCTGATTGCCACATACTGATATCCTGCATCGTCCTTGGTAGCATGACAGATTCAAAGATAGTTTTCCACAAAAATAGGCAATAAAAGCCAGTTATAAATATACTAAACATGATTCATTAGGAGCTAGATGAATTAATGAATCAATTAAATGAAATAGCCAGTGTGATTTTAAAGAACAAAAAGAACATATTCGTAGCATTTATAAAGGAAAATAATTAAGAAATTAAAATTCACCATGGGTTTATGAAGATATCCCATTGTTTGTATAATTAAAGCAAAATGTAATGAGGCCCACAATGCATTTGCATATTAATAGCTAAATTAATCAGACCACGCCCATGAGGTTAATCATGCTGAGAGAAAATTACTTCTGTGAAAAAAGTGGGTTTATTTTTAATTGAGATTGAACCCAACACAGTATGTTCGTTTAACCAGGAACATATACATTAAACATCGAAAGTAATAGTCCTCAAAGCAGAAACATCCCAATATCTGAAAAGCTGGAAACATTCAATGTTTTTACATTTCAAATGACTCAAACGTTGAATGAACTCATTCTTATCTTTTTAGCTAAACCATATATTCTCTCAATAACATCCAAAAACCGCTCCAAAATTGTCCCCATCAGCCAAGCCATTGTTTAACTATTGACTGCATGTGCTAATTAATGCAACGTGTGCCAAATGTACAAATTGCCCCAACATGCAAGTTAGCATCCGGCAGTTTCTATGTGCTGGGGACCCTTACTATACATTTCTAACATAAAACTTAGGGGTACTCAACATGTCGGGTTCACAACCAAATGTGCAAATTGCCCAACATGCAGAAGAGAATAGATGAATAGAATTGGGATTGATGAAACCCTCTTTAATGGTCACACATGCAGAGCACACGGCACACACAGTGACATGTGTTCTCTGCATTTAACCCATCCTAGTACCAGGAGTCTAGTACTAGGAGCAGTGGGCAGCTATTGCACAGCGCCCGGGGAGCAATGGGGGGGAAGGGGGGTGTCCGGTGCCTTGCTCAAGTGCACCACGCAGGAGGTGAACTGGGACCTCTCCAAGTAGCAGTCCACACTCCATATTTAGGTCTGTTCGGGGACTTAAACCAGCGACCCTACAGCTCCCAGTCCAAGCCCCTACTGACTGAGCCACTGCCGGCAGCTTCTATGTGCTGGGGACCCTTACTATACATTTCTAGCATAAAATAACAGGACTCTATGTATTTCAAACAGACTGATCCCCCCCATTGCTCTCTCTCTAAACCCTCCTCCCCCGTCTCCCCTCAGCTCTGGCCTCCAGTCAGATCCCCATCACGTCTCTGGACGGCAGCAACCTTCTGTTCGCCAACACGTCTGGCGGCACACCGCTCTTCCTGAACCCCCAGAACCTGTCGCTGCTCACCAGTAACCCCGTCAGCCTGATGCCGGGGGTAGGGGGGCTGCAGCTGACCTCCGACCCCCACCTTCAAGCCTCTGTGGCTGCTGTGCCTGTGCAAAACTCCACCATCACCGCTGCCTCCAAGGCTCAGTGAAGCCCGGCTGCATACCGTCTGTTTCTCTCGTCAGGGCGTCTGAGATCAGCGCTCCACTAACCAACCCCACATTCTTTGTATTGTATCTATCATTATTTAATCCTTTTGCTGCCACCAAAAAGAAAACAACCCCAAGTGAGGTTGAGGTTGACTTTTTAAATTTTTGTTTCTTTTTTGATTCTTGGATGTTTTTTTTCCAACAAACATTCGCTGTTGTTGGCCTGCCGCTCATCATGAACCTTGACAAAGTGACCGGGAGGATGAAATATCCCCGGCACGATCAAGCCGTTCACATTGTGTGTGTGTGTGTGTGTGTATATAAATATATATCCTCCTATTTCCAGGTCAGAATTTCTCTGAAACACTTCTAACCAAAAACGTTTTGGATTTTTCTCTTTTAACATTCAAACTGATTTACTACTAATATTCATCATCACTAACGGGGATTTGTGTGTCACCCCACCTTTTAATTATCTCTTTTGAGTTTTTTTGGACAGGCCTTGACGCAAATCATATCAAAGTTATATTGTAGAGATTTTCTTTTCCCTTTCTTTTCTGTATTTTTTAACATTTTCAGAACTTTGTAAGTCTAATATTAAGTTAACTATCAATTTGTAATCATGGTTATACGGCTTTAAAAACAAGTAATAAGTGGCCGATATAAAGGTTATCATTGCTTTAAGGATCAGAGGGACAAGACGTGTCTCTCTGAGTCTCTCTTTCTGGAAACACTGAGTTTTACATTTTGCTGCGGAGCGAAGTAGCCCCAAAGCTTTTTGTAAAATCACCGTCTCGGTGCGGATTACAGACACTGATAGAAAATGACTGAAAACATTGCGTTGAAAGCTTTATAAAGAGCTGCGGACATGCAGTCCCGTGTCGGATTTAAGGGTGATTTGTTTTGGATGGTGGTCTATTGGAAAACTGTACATTACGTTTGGATTAGGAGGTAGGAAATAGACGTCTGCATGTGTTGTCTCCAGAGAGTTCAGTTCCTGCATGATCCACGCGGCTCTGCGGCTGACTGCTCTGTCGTTGGGAGATTAGTCAGGGCATGGGCATCATACCAAATGTATGCTGGCATTGGCTAGATGGGGTTATTGTGTTTTTGTTTTATTTTTATTTTCTTAATAGTAGTACCGTCGTATCTACTTGTGCACAGTATCTGTACCAAAAAACTGGATTGATGAGCTGCAGTCTGCCTGTTTGGGGAGGAATGAAATTCTGTCTTTCTCTGTCTGCAGTCACTTGACTGGCTTCGTACTTTAAGATATACCAAAAATATTTGTTAAAATAATTGCTGTGTGTACTCGGTGTAGCTTAGTCTAGTCGATATATTTATGAGTACAGAATTTCTCTTCATTGTCAACAGAATATAGAAATGCAATATTTTGATGATCATTTTCCAAAGATGACCTTTTTTTTAATTTGACAAAGTGTCTCATCGCTCAACTTAAAAAATTGGCAGCACAAACTGACCAAAAACAGACGGATTGGCGGGATGGGGCACAAGAAAATGTTCGTTTTGACTCATTTTGAATGGTTTTTTTTATCACCGGGGCCTCGCCCCTAACGCCTGATCCTGGTTCTCCTTCAGCCATTTGATGGCTTAGTTTTCCTTTATCTTTATTGGCCATTTTGGTAGCAGTTTTGGACTTTTCTGAAGCAAAGTGGAAAGGTTCTGTTTTTTGGTTTTGTACTAATATTCAGCCATAAAACAACAGCTTGAACCAAAGTGGTTTTCCTCAGTAGTTGCCCTACGCTTCACACTGCTGACAAATTATTTCCCACTCTCTGCCTCGGTTAATACCGGATAGTCCTTATTTGGTTCTGCTAGATAAGGATCACAGAAACCTAGCTTTAACAACTTGCTGCTGGAGCTGAGCTGGTTAGAGGCCTGCATGCTCTCCTATAGCTTTATGAATACACCCTGTGAGATCAGGCCTGCCCTCTGGAGGGCTCACTTTTATGTAAATGCTGAGATCGGATCATCAGTCACACACCACACTCCCTCTCAGCATCGCCATTTTTGAACCAGCACGCTATGAAACGATATGCTGCTCCCTAAATCTGTCTGCGGACTCGTTTTAAAACCTGCCAAATGATCTTACTCAACACAGTGTTGGGCTAAGTACTGTTATGTGCTACACATTCAACTGAACCCCACGTAAAAAAGTAGCATTGTTCTACAAAATGAGTTACCACAGCGTTGTTAGATCGCTGAGGTTGTAGGCAGTGAAGTTTGTCCATGTTTTCCTCTTGTGTACTTCTTTTCTTTTGAATTACTTTGACTGAATATACCTCAGCAGCACTTAACATAAGGTTCACCTTTAGACATTTCTGTGTATAGAACAGTGTAGAATGTATAAGTACCATTCAAAGTTTATACTGATGAACCAAACATAGGAAAGGACAACCTACTACTGCTATTTTCTAGTACTACTATTTATGGGGTATTTCCAGGTTTGAATATTATTTTGAGATCCTTCTTGCCAAAGGACAAGCCTTTCTCTTTGCAGCTGGGCGGGTGTCTGGCTGCTCACGTCGCTGGTTCCCCGTCTTCGAGGACTCGGTCCTGTTACCGTGCTGTTTGTAGTTACTAAAGAGTTGAACATGTTGCAAGATGAACCAGTTGCCATCGGCACCATAGGATGTTACTGAAATATTTATCTGAGGAAAGAATTAGAGAAACAATCTTTTCTTAATTCTATACATATAAATATATATATAAACACGTGTAAGATATTCATATTTTATATTTGAACCAGTATGTTATCAAGACTGAATGTAGTGTTTATCATTCTTACCCGAGAAAAAAACTCCCCTAAATCCTCCTTTTCTATTATTGCAAAATAACGATTTTTCTTTTTTTTAACTGACAAGACCAAAAAATAAGAAATCTGAGATCACGCCTCGTGTGTTTGCTCGGACACTCCTGACTCTGATCTTAATCTTTTAATAGATTTGTTTTTGTTTGAGTCACATGGACTTGATTTGTTGTGCTGTCTTTAACAATCATTTGATTTTTTTACTTTATGCCTTTTAATTGTTTTGTATAGTGTGAGGGCAAGATCACTGGCTTTCTTAGTTTGACAAAGAAGATTAACATTATCATTTATGCCTTATTGTTACGTAGAAGACATGAGCATTGTAGCATTGTTGTGTGTGTGTGTGTGTGAGAGAGCTTTTGAGCTCACCAGGTGCACCGTTTTCACTGAAACAAAGCAGTGCACTCTGGGCATTTTGGAGAGTGGGATGATTATGTTGCGACCTTTGCTTTTAGGTGTGACTCAGACAGGTTAAAGATACCTGTGAGAAAAGCTTTACTAATAATTCCAGCAGGTGGATGTGAGTGTGTGTGTGAGTGTGTCTTTTAAAGAGAGAATAGCGAGTAGTCTGCAAACCATTATGGTGCATTTGATCCATCTTCCAGTGGGTTTTTGGGGGTGATTTTCTTTAAAAATGGTTAGACATGAAGAGTACTTTTTTTGTTGGTCCATACTGGGGTCTTTACCGATATCTAAAGCCTAAAAGCAAGCCAGTTAAAGAAAAAAAACTACAGTTTGGGGTCATTGTGAGTGTTTTATCTATTAATGATCTTATCTACTGTCAACTAAAGTTTTTCTTTGCCACTGGCTCTGCTTTGATGCTGTAGTTTCATAACGTGATCTCCAGATTTCAAGTTGCTCTTGTGGATCAGCCGTGCATCAAGTTGTAGTTTGTTGAACCCACCACACTGGTTTGCTGGTTTTTATCGTTGACAAAGGAAGTGTGGAGCACCAGTTAAGGCAAAAGGAGCTGTTGTATACCTCATTTCTAACTCGAGACTGAGTGAAACCTGCTTTAATCTACTTAAGAAATATAAAATATTATTAAAAAAATCACAAAAAAAGAATAAAATACAGAAACTGTGTCAGTGGAGAAGCCCGTTTATACTGTACTTGTGAAGGGTTGTGGAAAGTCGCACCACAAGAGGGAGACAAAATACATACCTGTACTCATGAATGTCTTCTGTTTTTTCTTTTTCACAATTTGGTGTTTTTTATGCTGCACACTGATGTATTTTTCAGCCTTTTATGGAATTGGTTTGTTGTAACTTGAGATTTATTTTAGCGTATTATATTCCTCTGAAAAGTTACTTTGAATAGACGACCCCCTCCACATTTGAACACTTTAAGTTTGACAATCCTGTTTTCTATTTAATTTTTTTTTTTCACTCTGACTAAGTGCAGGTATGTACGTGTCTCCCCACATGACCCGCTCTCCTGTGGTACCAACAATAACCAAAGACTTCTAACTTGATTGTAAACGAAACAACGCCCGTCTCTCGGCCCATCCCCGCCTCACTGCTCAGATCAAATCCCGGCTGCACGCTCTCCCCCGAGTCCGCTATTCATTTGCTTTTTACTGCATGTGAATGTGTACCCGCCCCGAAAAAACACCCTGCGGTTTCAGTGCCTGTGGGCGGGGATCGGAGGTGGGACGGGGGGTCGAAAAGGGGCCGAACGGGCTTCTCCCACAGACACAATCTGGTGGTAGCTGGGTGATGTTTGTTAATACACACTGAGGGTTAATCCTGTGCACACTGTACATGCTCAGGACTGTATGTTTGTTGTTATGTTTCCCCGTCCACTCTTTCTCTCTCTCTCAAGGACTGCGGTGAAACTGCTCTTCCTGCCTCTGTCTCTTCCTCATCACACTGTATAGTCCCAGGACATTTTACCCTGTTGTCTCCAGGAATACACATCCTAAACTCACTGCTGTGTCCCCTCCTCCCTCCTCCTCTTCTGCTTCCTCCTTTGCCATCGTCTCTTCACTACAGACTCTGATCCGCTGTGACACTATGCATCATGGTCCTGTCACTCTGCATGGACTGTGTCCCAGTGACACTTTGTTTAAGGCTTTACTCCGAGTGAGGTTTGAAGGACCTCACAAGCGCTATCCCAAAGCAAAAATCCAAATATTTAACTTTTGACAAATGCAGATACCAAAGATATCTCTCTGTCCTGTGTCTTTCTCTGTCCTTCTCTCCCTTCCACCCTACAGCATGTGTATTAAGAGACAAACCCAGCACTGGCTTTAGTCCTAGCCTCAGTGATTCCAAAGCTTAGATGTATATTTTGGTATATTTCTGAGAAAATCTTGTGTGAAAAGTTTCTCGTTTGTTTGTTGTAATCTCTTTTTTTTCTGTCACAGCATGGAACTAATTGCAGAACTGTCTTACTCTTGGTAGGTTAAAGATATAGTATTTTTGTATGTTTTTTGGGTGTGTTATGTGTGTGTGACCATGGCTTTCAACAAGATAGGAAAAATGAGAAAACCAAAAAAAAAATGCCAACCATGTACATAATATGTTTGTGTATCTCAAGAACTGCATTACGTAAAACATTTACTACTCGCGTTGGAAAGCTTGGGCTCATCTAAAGGAATGTGTCCCTGATTTATTTACCTGTTTCTTACTCTGCCGTCTGATAATACTTGTCGTTCCAGGACTCTAATTTAAGGAGTCCTGATTTCCATCATGGACAAAAACTCTGTGAGAAACTGCTCTGATTTGACTACAAGGAAAAAAACAACTACAAATACTGCCGTAAAGTACGGCGTAGAACTGAAAGGTTGTGTAGGAGTTTTAAGTATGTGAATCAGGATACATAGTAGATTTTGATGCATTTATCTGCTGTATTTTTGTTTGTTTTGTTTTTATACACATATAAAAATAATCTTTTACTGTAAATGTACAGTTCTCTTTTGTTGTAAACATCATTAAACCATTTTCCAAGTGTTTTGATGTGCTTTGTCTTTTATTGGCATTCAGTTACAGTTTGATATTCAGAAGCACCAATTATAAGCCATGCAGGCTTTTTTTCATTTTGTGCCCAATAACTTCTAAAGTTAAACAGGAATACATTCTGTCGCTTATCAGCTTCTGCTATACTTTGTGTAGAACTAATTCATTGTATCATGCTAACAGTAACACACTAAAAACATGCCATTGTGATGTCTTAAGTTACATAAAGGGCTTGTTTACATCCCTATCAGCTTCTGCTGTGCGTTTAGCATTATGTTAGCATGCTAAAGTACTATGCAAATAAGGTCTTAAGTTAAATAAAAGACTTCTTGGAATCCCTAACCGCTTCTGCTATATGTGATAAGCATTCATAATGTTGGCATACTTTGTATTATACCTATCAGCTTCTCGTATAGCCTACTTTATGTTTAACACTTATAAATTACAGGGTTGCCGACTCTCACGCATCTGGCGTGTGACACACGCTTTCACTCTCAATCTCACGCTCTCACGCTGCCCAAACTATTCTCACGCCAAAAACAAGAATACCGAAGACTAGAAACGGTTTTGAAAACTGTTGTGACGTAGTGATCGTCTTCTCAATAGAACATCTTTGATAATGTCTTCTGGCCAATCAGAATCAAGATAACGGCGTGGTGTTGTTGCAGGAAGTCCCGACGGAGAATACTTTTGCTGTAGTACATCTCTATATCGATACAACATTACGTGTTGATAGAAATCAACACGTAATGAAATAAGACCCCACGGTTTGATGATTGATAGGTGTGTGGGCTGTCTTTCATTTTGACACACAGAACAACGGGGGCTATCCACCCTTATCCACAATGTAAAGTAATTCACAGCCTCTTCCCTCTTCTCTCTGCGAGGAGCAGCAGGTTCAGCTTTCAGAACAAAGTAACACAAAACTAAAATGGCATTAATTTTTTTAAATATGTCGTGTAGTAATAGATTTATTTATTTTTCTTCTCAAGAGAGTAGCCTACCAGAATGTGTATTTTATGTTAGTATTTTAAAAAAAAAGAAGAATCCCCCCCAGACCCCCCTGCAGGGGTTGGGCTTTCAGCAGGTCAACTCTTTCACCTATGGGGAAGTTGCAGAATTGGCTCCAGGTCGCCCTTTTTATTTACTACAAGACACAGGGCCGCCCCTTGCCAACTTGGGGCCCCAAGCGACATTGTGAGATGAGGCCCCCCCCCCAACCGACAGGAGTGAAAAAAAATTGCAAATATAATTCCTGTTTATTATTATTATTATTATTATTATCAACAGTTACTTTTTTATACAGTGAGGTAAATGGTAAATGTGCATGTATGTCGTTCAGTATGCGTTTACAGGTGAATACGTCTGCATTTCCTGCCAAATACTAGCCTCATAAAGATTCAAATATAATGAATGCAAATAAACTACTTCTACTAATAATCAATTCAATAATATAAATACTATATTTTTTTTATTATAATATAGTTGTAATATAGTCAAGACAAAACATGCTTATGACAAAAACTGATATTTCTTAAATCTGTATTCAAACGTAGTTCCCTCTGTCAGCAATGTATCAACAACTACACACACATTTCTATCAGTAGCCTATTTCTCTGTGTTGTGGTTGACATGATGATGACTGTTAGGAGTTAAAAGGGAGAGGCTGAGCATCACCATGAAATGTGCAAATTGACATAAAAATGAATAAAAGGGGAAAAAATGCTCCATGTTTTTTAAGCTGTAAACTTTAACTGTTATATAAGCCAACTAGACAGACAGTGTATCACTATTCCTCCTGTACATTAGCAGATAAAAGGCATAACATACTTGAATGAATGGTAAATAAAGAATGCTGGAAAAAACTGCATCTCCATTAGCCTATGCTATGCAGAGACTGCCTTCTTCATGTCGTGAATTGCAGCTGATGTTTTAATACGGCAATTGGCAATTTGACTTATACAACATTCGCAAGTTGTACATTTGACTCATACAATAACCCACCTTCGAGTGATGCTCTAGTTTCTTCATGTTTAGTTTTTTGCGCCGGACTGAAACTGTCTTTTCACCGACATCTCTTTACCTGCACTAGTGGCCGTATCGAAGCCGTGATTGGTCAGATGTCGATACATTACAACGGTGTTGGGTTACAGACATGCTCCCCTTGTCATCTCTCACCAGACCCGGCGTCATGGGCGGGCCCCATGGGGCCGGGCCCGCCCATCCAGGATTTGGGCCCGCCCATTCAGGATTTGGGCTCGCTGTTTTAATCAGGGCTGAATACAACATTTTAACTGTTTCATTATTATGTTCAGTGGCGGTGTCAGTACCAGATATGTTCGGCCTACCAGATATGTTCGGGTGTATTTCCGTCGCATCCGTCATCCGTCATATCCGTCATATACTCACCTCCCTCTGCTCCCAGCGCTATGCTGCCGCACACTGGCCGTCTGCGGAACTGCAGCCGGAGGAACTCGGTACAGCTTGTTATGTGTGAACGATCTAGATCCCTCCGCTTCCCCATAATTACCGCGACCATTTTAACTTTCATGACAGAAATGGAGAGCTTTTATGCTGAGATAAAGCAGTACGTGCTCAATGGTGGTTACCACAATCTCACCATCGCCGCTGAAAAGCATGATAAAAGGAAGGCGTTAATTCGGAGGGCATCCAAACAATACCTGATCAAAGGTAAGTAACAGAATAAGACCATGGTTAAGTCACGAACATACGTTTTTATTATGAGGTATAAACCCCCTGTACATGTGACATCATCACATCCCTTTACTTATAGGGATCAATAAAGTATATATCTATCTATCTATTTATCTAATGGTGTTTTTTGGTGCAAAAGTGATCATACCTCTAATGGTTTATCATATTGCAATTCCAACATTTTTCAGTAAATCGCAAGGACTCCACAGCTTGTTTCTCCTTTTTCTTTTTATACACACTTTACATTACTGTAGTTGTTATGTCTAAACCACATTTGCCACTGGATTTCTTGAACAGCTTTTAGTCATAATGTCATCTCTACACATGTCTAAATGATTGTTTTGTTGTTCCTGTTGTGCCAGCTGGAGATTTGTACTACACATACAAGGACAATGAGAGGATGGTTGTGTGCACCAAGGACCAAATTATCAATGTCCTGAAGGAGTGCCATGATAACCTGGGTTCCGGAGGTCATGCAGGGAGAAGGCGCACCACCGAGAAGGTTTTGGCAACGTACCACTGGTCCACTATGCGGGAGGACGTGAAGAAATGGGTGGGAGATTTTGACTGACTGACTGATTATTGATCTACAGAAATGTGTTGTATGTGTACATTGAAACAGAGTGAGACAGTTTGAGCTCCATCAGAGCAGAGAAAACATATTTCAGAACTTTAACAGTTTAATTCTGTCTCCTCTGAAAGTTTTCTCTGTTCTATCATTTTTATACCTAAAGTTTTTTGTTTTGCTGATTGAAAATGTATGATATTTGCTAAGGTTGATGAGTGTCCCCGCTGCCAGCAACACGAGGTCATTAAAACGGTTGCACCCGTACTGCATCCCATTCATGTTCCCGAGGCATGGACTGTCCTTGGTGTGGATCTCATTGGCCCACTTCCCTCCACTGCTAAGGGCAAAAGGTACTATCATGATGGGCTGAAGCATGTGTAACCTCCTTTAAAGGTTCTAAACGTGAAGAATCTGGTTTAAAAAGAAAGGAAATCATTTACAGTGATTCTGTATGTATTTACAACATTCTGCATTTTATATTGCAGATACATTCTAACAGCGACTGATCTGTTCACAAAGTGGGTGGTAGCAAAAACGCTCTACCACAAAACAGCTGTTGAGGTCTCAAAAAAGATTGTAAATATTCTTCTCGATTTCGGTTTTGTCGAGAAGATCATTACCGACCAAGGACGGGAATTTGTCAATGAGGTACAATAATCTATCTAATACAGTGTATGTGTTATGTGTAACAATGTAATACGATTTTTCAGGTAATTTGGTAATTGGTGTACACTAAACCATCTGCAGGTCAACCGTGGTGTTTTTGATGCACTGGGTGTAAAACACTGCATCACTTCAGCGTACCATCCCCAGTGCAATGGCCAAGATGAGCGTACAAACCAAAACATAAAAAAAGCACTTGCAAAGTACTGTGGAGAGGACCAGAATGACTGGGATTTACATCTGAGGGGCATTGTGGCGAGCATTAACACCTCAAAGCAGGTACAATGTTGTAACAAATGCAGATGGAAACAATACTCAACAGAGATACTAAAAGGAATTTTTATGCTTTCAGAGGTCAACCAAGTGCACGCCCTATTTTGCCCAGTTTGGGAGGCACCCTCGCGTCCCGGGTGTTATAAATGCTACAGTCAATGACAGGGATGATACCTCTGTTTTGGTGCCTGCTGATGAGGCAGAACAGCAGCTTGAGGCAAAGGCTGCAACCATTGCAGATTTGCACTCGAAGGTGAGAATAAAATGGCAATATTTAAAACATAATAACTCCTAAAAAATGCAAGCGTATGTTAAGGACTGTAAATGATAACTGTTACATATCTTTCTCAGATTTACCAGAACATCCAAATAGCACAACAGAGACAGAAAATCTCTTTTGAAAAACGCAAGGGAAAGAATGTAAAATCTTTCCTGATTAACGTTGGAGATGAGGTCCTAAGAGCGAATAAGAGGAAGGAGGGCCGAAAAGGTGGAAAACTGGAGTGCAACTGGTTTGGCCCTTATGTGGTTTCCTCAATCACCAACAAGGGTGTGGCAACCCTGTTGAGCTCAACAGGAGCTCAGCTGAGACAGAGTGTGAATGTGTCTCAGCTGAAGCCCTTTATCAGGCCTATGTTGAGAGGTATTTTGATTATCAATACAAGGACACATTTTAGGTATACTTCATGTGTGGTACTTCAATAATACTGTTTATTTTTTGTCTATCTAATAACAGCTGAACCGAAGTTGGATTCGGAGGGGTCTGTTGCTGACCA